TAAACCTTAAATAATCTATCTTAATAGTTATTAAAGCTTATAAGTTAAAATAGTATAATATTAGTATAGTTTAAAAATAGTATTTAAGTATTTAGAATATATCTTCTTATTCCTTACTTTAAATAAATAGGACTCCTTTTTTTATAAGGAGGGTAAAAAGCTTAATAACCTCTAAATACTTTAATATAAAGATTTAGTAATAATTAGTAAACCTAAAAAAACTTTATAGTTTTTTTATAAAAATAAGCGTTTTTTATTTAATAATTACCTATACTTTCTCTATATTATAAGTAATACTTTCTCTTATTTTAAGGATAAACTTTATATATTTTACTATTTTTATAAAGAACTTATACTTTACTAAGTTAAAATTAAAGCTTACTTTTTTAAGCGTTTAAAAGACTTTATAAACTTTCTACTTATAGTCTACTTAAGAGCTACTACTATAAATTAATATATTATTAATATATACTATTATAAAGTTATTAAGAAACTCTTAGAGTATACTATTAATATACTATTAGAATATTATTAAAGCTTTACTTAGCTTAAATAAGTAGACTAGCTACTTAAAAAACCTATATTATATATAAAAAGTAGTTTTCTCTTAGTACTTTTTTACTATATAAATCTTATAAAAAGCTATTATAATATCTAATTTAGTATACTATTTTATTATACTAACTCTCTAGAAAGTTTCTTAGATTAAAAATAGAAAGTAATAATCTTATTTTATAATTATATTTAACGCTCTATAATTATAATAGAACTATAATCCTTTATTTAGTTTTTAGATAAAGAGGATTAATATATTTATAAGTAACTTATTAGCTTAAATAAACCTCTTATTAAGTAGGTTAGTAAATATCTTTTTAAGTATTAATAACTTTTCTCTTAATATATTATAGAGGGAGCTTTAAAGTAAAAGTACTTCTTAACTAGAGGTATTATAATTAAGGTAGATTTTATAATTTATATTAAAGTAACTTAGGGGTAGAAGATATAATTTAGTAGTTTTAAAGAGCTTTATAAATTCTTTATAAATATATTATAATAGTCTTTTAGAATAATTTTTTAGTTTCTTTACTTTAAGTACTTTCTTAATATTTTTTAAGCTTATAGTTTATATCCTTATTACTACTTTAGATAGCTTATTCTTACTAACTTTCTAATAGATTATTATAAATAAGGTAGTATTTAACTAATAAGCTTCTTAGATTTCTCTTACTTTTTAGGGCTCTTTTTATCCTTATAAGGTAACTATAACTCTTACCTTCTTATAGAATATATACTTCTCTACTATATTATAAATAATATTATTTTATTCTATTTATAGTTTCCCTAAGAAGAGGTTAATATTTAACCTTCTTATTATATAAGTAAAAAGTTACTATATATAGCTTCTAATTTTAAAGTATAATATAGCTACTTTTTTTATAATAATTTAAGCTAAATTATTAGTAAAGTTTTATAATTATTATACTTAGTAGTTAATATATAGTAAATAGAGGTAGTAAGTATATTAATAGTTTACTATTATATAGATATTATAACTATAATCTATTAAAGCGTTAGTAGGAATACTTTTATTAATTTTAACTATTAATATTATAGAAGGTTTATTTATACTATATTCTAACTAAAACTATTTCTAATTAGCTTACTCTTCTTCTATTATCCTTAATACTTAATTTTATATTAAAGTTACTTATTTCTTAAGTTAGAAATATCTTCTTTTTTTTTAGTCTCTTCTAAGTCTAAATATAATATTTCTTTAATAGCTTTTATTACTTTAAAACTATCTCTTAACTTTTTAGTCTTTTAATAGTTTTTCTATAAGTAGCTAATTTAATTATACTTAAAATAATAATATATTTCTTTATTAAGGTTTTTATTTATTTTTTTATATAAGGTGTATATTAAACTTATTATTTTAATATCTCTATCTATATCTACTTTTAAAAGTAATAACTTTATTTTAAAGGTTTTAAGTTAGTATAAAATGTTATAAATATAATATAATCCCTCTAATTTCTATATAATATTTTATATAAGGTTTATATACTTAATATACTTATAGGGGGTTAGGTAGTTAACTAGATAATTAAGGAGCTTATATAATAATACTTTATATAGGTAATTAATCTAAATACTATCTAGCTAAGTTATACTACTTACCTCTATAATAGTATATTTAAAGTAGAGAAAGAATAAAGCAAAAGTTTTATTATATTTTATTTTAAGCTCTAATAGTTTTCTAAAAACTTTACTTTCTATATTTAAGTTACTATAAGTATAGTCTAAGTATACTAAAAAAGTATCTAGCTTAAATAAGCTATTATTATTTCTTAAGCTATAAAAAGCTATAACTACTAGCTATATTTTAGGTTCTAAGTAGGAGTTAATAAGATATTATACTTCTTAGTTATTTAAGTAAAAAGCTTAATTTATTTTAATCTTATTATATATTTATTACGCTTATATAGTATATTTATTATAACTTCCTCTAAACTTAGGGAGGTTAGAGAGGAGCTTTAAGTACTAAATATTACTTATTTCCTAAGTAATATCTAGTTTAAAGAGTAGTAATAGTACTAATAGTAGTACTAATAGAGTTACTATAAGGTTTAGTATTACTAATATTAATATATTATTAGCTATTATTATTTATATTAGATCTATAGCTAGCTTATTATTAATTTACTATAAGATTATTAAGTTATTAAGCTAGTTATTAAGCTTATTAATAGCTATATAGATTGCTTTAAATACCTCCTTATTTACTAATATTAGTTTTAAGCTAGCTACTTCTAGCTTAATTAGCTTTATTTTCTATTTACTATTTATTACTCTATATAATTAGTAAGATAAGTATTTAAATTAAGCTTAAATATATAAAGGGCTAACTTTTAGTTTATTTAACTTAAAAGTACCTTAATTATAGGAATCTAAGCTAAAGAGGGGAGGGTTTTAAAAAGCCCTTTATATAGAGGAAAAATAAGTATAAAGTAGTAGTTAAGCGAATATAGTTACTAAGGGTAGAATTCTCCTAAGTCTGTAGTACTACCTAGATATTAATAATAAGTATAGCTTATAACACTTACTATAATAAAATATAAAGGTATAAGTAGCTCTTATTAAATAAAGATATCTATTAAATAAAGTAGTTACTATAAAATACTAAATAGGATACTTATATACTTACTTAGTAGAGCTTACTTACTAAAGTAAGCTTTAAAGTTAATTATTACTAATAAATAGTTTAATAAGTAATAAGTACCTTTAGCTATTATAAGTATATTACTTACTATAAAAACTAAGTTAACTTATATACTACTAAATATTATATTAAGAAAGTAAAAAAGCTTCTATAGTAATACTTTACTATTAATTACTAGTAAATAATATATTTTTCTAATAAATATTACTTTAGTTTAGACTTAGAGAGAAGGATTTATATTATATATAAACTTAATAAGTATTTTTATTCTAAGTATATCTAAAAAGTTAACTTCCCTTAAGATAAATATTAGAAGTATATTTATATATAGAGAATAATTAGATATAAGTTTAAGAGTAAACTAATCTTCTATAATATAAGTAATAAGAATAATAAGATAAGTTATAAATACTATATTAAGTAGATTCTTAAGTTTTATATTAAATACTAGCTTAATTATAGTAATAGCTTTATATTAGAAGAAGATAGAGATTCTAGCTATAGCTTTTCTAAAAAGAATAAAATCTAAGACTAAAAAATAGCTTATAAGCTAAGTTACTACTTTAATTATTATAATAGTTTAGATTAAAATCTTATAAAGAACTACTAAGAAGTCCTAAAAGAGATAATTAAGTAATACCCTTACTAATAAGAGGGCGATATTAAGTAACTAGTAGAAAAGTTATAGCTATATAAGCTTAAGTAGTTATTTATTAATAAATAAGTAGATTTAATACCCTTAAAGCTTAAAGAAACTATTATAAAAGAGGGCTAAATAACCTATTAGTGATCTAAGCTATTAATTATTAAAAAAGAATTCTTTTACTAGCTAGATTAATATAATTAATACTACGTTGCTAGCGCTAAAAAGAGGGTGTTATGTGGTAGCTGCGTTAGGTGTGTGGGTTTTTTTTGCAAACCGGGTGCCCCTGTCCCCTCGATCGCCCTGGAAGCGACCCCAGATGCAGCAACGATCGCCCGTCCAAAACAAGGTCAACGGTCGACGTCGTGTTATTTGCGCCGCCGACAAGCGCTTCGAGGACGGATAACGGCGAGCGGGATAGCGCCACGCGTTATACCTCGCAAAACGCATTAAACCACTTGGCTAGCCATTGGCCATTTCGATTGGCTGCTGAATGCTGGGCCTTGACTGTGATGGTTGCCTGTACCCAAATAGACCGTCATGTACGTAACGGCGTAGCATTAAGGCGAGATGAAGTAGTGAGAGCGTATGACCACAAAAGTAGGACGGAGTGAGAAGGTAATCTGTGCAGCCATCGAGACCATGCCACTACCAAACCCTTGGAGCCTCTCGCATGCGATCGTCATCAGCTCGACAAGGTCTCGCCTTGCGGTAACCTCGAGGAGCGGCAACTCCGCGATGTTCCTGGCGTTTCGTCGATCTGGCCCCCATAGCACAAGCGCGTTGTTGCTGACGCGCGTATCTTCTGGTGATCTTCGAGCACTACGACAGCAGTTCGAGGCACTCTTCCATCTGCTTCGTGGTGTTGAGACGGGAATAGTGCCCAACATACTCGCCACTTGGCGAGAGGCCTCACTGTTCGATGGTCAGTAGACCCGAATGCACTGCAAACAACAACATCACCGAATCACGATCCGAATCATACTGGCTCGCCAACCCTGCTTTCCATTCCTATAGGGCCGCTTGAGTGTCCGTGGTAATCGTACAATGTTGTCTATCGCGTTCGAATCCTCTATGCCCCAATCCCGCCAGAAGCAATAAACCCAGATACCCAGCGGCATCCAACACTTGGATGGATTAAGCGTAGAAGTTGACCGTCTGAGGCAAGTCAGTACATGTGTGATCGAAGGGCTCGCTATAACACTTACGTCCTTCTTCTTGGCCTGCACCTCGGCAATGGCATCCACGTAGTGCTCGTGGCTAATCTTGTTCTTGCCCATACGCAGGGCAATCATACCAGCCTCCACACAGACAGCCTTAAGCATGGCACCTCCGAACTCGTCTGTGCTGCGAGCCAATTCACCCCAATTGACAGCGGGGTCAACCTTCATCTTGCGGGAATGGATCTTGAGAATCTGCGCGCGGGCCTCCTCGTTCGGCAAGGGGAACTCGATCTTTCGGTCGAGACGACCTGAACGAAGCAGGGCGGGGTCCAAAACGTCGACTCTGTTCGTGGCGGCCAGGACCTTGATGCGGTCGTCTGACGCAAAACCGTCCAGCTGGTTCAGAAGCTCCAACATGGTGCGCTGCACTTCTCTGTCACCGCTCTTCTCACTGTCGAAACGCTTCGTACCGACGGCATCCAACTCGTCGATGAAGATGATGGCGGGGGCCTTCTCCTTGGCGAGAGCAAAGCAGTCTCGTACCAGCTTAGCACCGTCACCAATAAACATTTGCACCAGTTGGGGACCGGCGAGCTTGAGGAAGGTGGCATCGGTCTGCGCTGCGCAAGCTCTGGCGAGAAGCGTCTTTCCGGTACCTGGAGGGCCGTACATCAGAGCACCTGGTGAAGTCAGTGTTGTCTTGTCCAACGAAATAGCGCTACCGTAACGTACCCTTCGGCGCCTTGATGCCAATCTTCTTGAAGCGCTCGGCCTCCTTCATGGGCCAGACAATAGCCTCGACGAGCTCCTCGATCTGCTTGTCCAGACCACCAACATCGGTGTACTTCTCCGTGGGCTTCTCGTCAACCTCCATAGCCTTGACTCTGCTGTCATACTCGGCGGGCAGGGTGTCGAGAATAAGGTAGGAGTCCTTGTTGACTCCGATGAGGTCGCCGGGCTTCAAGGTCGTAGGGTCGACCAGACCGATCAATGGAAGGAATATGGTTTGTCTAGTGGAGGTCTTGATAACTGCCGACTTGCCGACGCGGGTGGCGTCCAAATCGATGTTCGCGCCCTCCTCAGATGATTCGGCGGTCGGGTCGAGATCGAGGAGTTCGACGACGTTACCAACGAGGTAGGGTAATTGGCTGGTGGAGCATGCAAGTCAGTCATTTCGTCATCACAAGCTGGATGGAGGGGCATACCGGTTGTTGGCAATCTTGTCGAGGTTCTCCTTGATCTTTTCCCCCATGGTAGCCTTCTCGTGCGTCAACCGTTGCAGTTCGCTTCGCATGATTCTGGAGTCGTTCTCGAGCAGGCGTTTGCGGGTCTGGATGTCCTGGGTGCTGAGGTTCAGGATCTCGTCGTCCAGGATGTCCTCCTCGTCCTCCTCGGCATCCTTCATGTCGGCATCACCTTCGGCTGTGGGCTTCTTCTTGTCCTTGTCCTTGTCGCCATCATCTCTCTTCTTCTCGTTCTGATCCTGACGATCGAGATCCTCAAGATCCTCGAGGGTCGACATGGTGGCGGGGTGTGCGGGCGGACGGAATTAAAAGTGCTAAATTATCGTCAAGGAGAGAACAATCGCCGTGTCTATCGTCAATGCGTCAGGTGTGATAGCGATGGTGGGGGAAATGCCGTTGTTCGTCGTGAGGTGGGTGTTTTGTTGAGTCTGAAAGGGACAGCTTCCGAGCTGCGGTCGTGAGGCTCGAGCTACCTTACTCTCTCAAGGCAAGCAACAGTCGCGTAATCAGCCTGGCCTGGAGCTGCCCTGTGCGTTCAGCCGGAGTGGCCAGGCCGGAAAGCGCTAGGAGGAAAGTCCGACCGGATCCGGTTACTGTGCGCCAACTGTGTCTATACGGTACCAATTACTGTACCGGAGCAATAGCAAGCAATACGAGGTGAAATCAAGAACGAGCTACGCCTCTTTAGTCTCATGGAATGTTTTGATCTCTATTTTGCTTCTGAAAATTCGCCCAACGAATCGACACAAGAAATTGTCGCTCGCTATCGCATCTAACGAAATCCCAGCCCAGTTGTGACGCAGGGCCAAGCTCCAGACCAGACATCGCACCCGTGGACGCTCTTCCATCTTCCACCGATTAAAAGGGTATATGATGTGCACAAATGCATAAAACCAGTCATTACACCGCATAGCTGCCATCTTACAACAGGATGCTCCGTCATTAAATCATTCGTCGTCCAAGATACGACTGGCCAGCGCCCCGATGATGGGGACTTCGAACCTGCGACTTGTAAGCGCACGTCCCTGTTTGGGATGCTTATGAACATACCTATCCAACGTATCCGCATCTTGGTATGCCTTCAGCGCCAGCCAGATCATCATGAAGACATCCCCAATGAAGAAGAGCCAACTGAGGAAAGCGGACCATGAGAGGAAGACCAAATGGAAGATCATGACTGCCGTGAAGAGCAGCGCTGACTGCCACGCATGGAACCTGTACCCCCTGTCAGAAACTTGTACACCATCTGCCACCCATGCCCACTGAAAGGCATCGCGGGGTCGGCCATGTTGCCATCCTTCGCGGCTCAATGCTCAGGACCTCGAGATGGCTCCACCGTGTCCCATTCCACGTACCTTACATAGTCGCTGTTTCGCTCCCCAATCAACAACAGGATGGCGCCAAGTGGCGGGAAGGCCAGGTACGCCAAAGCCGCCTCGTAGTCCAACCGGATCCCCAAGCTCGTGTCAAATTCGCTCACGCCCTCCCGATGTGCGTCCGCCGAAGGGTACGACCCAGGCAGGCTCGGTTGCCATCCGCGCTGAGGCTGCGGGTGTTGCAAGGGCGGCGGCGAGGGCTGGTTGTAGGGCGAGAACGGTCGTCGGAAGTCGGCGGAGGCGCGCGGCGATGCGAGCGGCGGGGAGAGAGCTCTTTCGCGCTCTGGCGGGGAGGATTGGTACGGAGCGAAGTCCATCGTGATGCTCTGTCTCCGGAGTGCTTCTCGTCAGAATGGGACTGCGCTCGATATTTGCTCGAAGATTCAGCTCGTCGTAAAGGAACGGACGTCGAGGGTGCGACGATCAAAGCAAGTCGTGGTTGTGGGGTGTTCGTGTTGATGGTGATATGTTGTCGAGGAATGCGTGGAGAGAGTGCGAATGGAGAGGTACGTCAGCTGGCCGATTTGGAGAGAAACGCGCAATGGCATGGCGTCAGGTACACCGGACTACACTGGACTCGAAGCACCTTCGCAACCCTTTTCCCGCTGGAGCTTCCGCCTCAAGCTTAATTAGGGGTCTTTTTCGGTCCGACGGCGCGTTCATGCAGGTCACCTGCAGCGGTCATGTTAGTGGCTTGCACCCCGCACCCACCACTCAAATTGGAGCATCCCTTCCAACTGTCAGTCTGTTACTGATGCACATCTTTGATGATGGCCCAGGGCTACATGTCAAGCTAACATAGTTCATCTGTTTAAACTCCCGTTGACCAACTACGTGTGTCTGCATTTAGACTTGTTTCTTCACAGCAAACCAGGAGACATTCCCCTGAGACGGGCAGGCTTCCTCGGAAGGCTGATCCTTGTCATCGCTTGAACCGCCCCCTCTCATGTGGATTCAATAGAATACACTTCAATGCTTTCCGTGAAAGGGAAGCGAAATCAATGTTTTGGTAACTTAGTAATACTAAGTACCTAGTAAGCTGTGACATCGACCAGATTGCTTGTAGGTTCTTTGTGATCACCGCCACTGTCATCGTCTTCTCTACCGGCGTCGTCGTTATCGCTGTTATAGTTGAGGGTTACCATAGACACATAATCGATAGGCGATTTCTATTAGGAAACCGAGCTTTCATAGACAACAACGTGAGAGTTGCCGACCAACCAATTTATGCTGGCACGTCAAAGCTCCAAAATCACCCCCATACCAGCAGATTGTCATGAATAAACTCTATAGTAGAGATCCGTCGTCTCCTGATAATACAGACTTTTACAGGAATATCATACACTCCCTCCCATCTACTCGCTCTTCTTCTCTTCAGCCTCAGCCGGCTTGGCCTCCTCCTCCAACATCGTTTTCCGTCCCTCCAGCGTCAGCCACAAGCTCTTGCTACCAGCCTCCAAAGCATTCGTAAGACCCAGGCCAGCGCTCTGGAGAATGTACACAAGCTGTGCCCTCAAGCCGTCCAGACCACCCTCGATACCGCCAACCCACTTGACGCCCTCCACGTCAAACACGTCGCCCTCGACACGTCCACCGACGAGCAGCAGCTTCTGCAGACCGTTCTGCACCATCGGGTCGTAGTAACTCGGGTTCTTCTTCCTCGTAGGCGCCGGGAACTTGGGCGGACTGGGCGAGAGAATCCTCATCGCAGCAGCCAGATGCGCAGGCGACACAGCGGGGAAAACGAGCGCCGCCGTCGGTCCGCACAGCAAAGGCGAGATCTGCGCGTAGGCAGAGTCCTCCGGCACCTCAAAGCTCTTCATCGCCTCGTACGCCGCCATGCTCAGATCGTGCACCAGCGGGCCCTTGCGTCCCTGCTGCGTGTTCGGGTTTGCCTTGGCGACTTCGGGGTCGTAGAACTCGGCCAGCTTCAGCGCGACGTTGAACATGCGCGTGCGCAGGACCTGCAGGTTGACATCGCGGCCCAGCACCGGGGAGCCTTCGGGCGTGGCTGCGTCGAGGGCGTTGTTGAGCTCGCGACGGACGGCGGACCACTCGTCTGCCGTCAGGTTGCTGTGCTGGAAGAAGAGGATGAGGGGCGTCGTGCGGAGGAGGGAGGTGTAGGTTCGGATGAGCTGCGACTTGCGGGTCTCGGGCGGGCGGGCGGAGGGAGGCTTTGTCGCGGGGACGTAGTCGGCGGGCATGCGAGCAAAGGAGCTGCCGGGGCCTGCTGCTGAGGGGGCCGCGAGGTAAGGAGTTGTGGTGCTGAGATAACGTGCGATCGGGGTGGAGGGGGTCGCCAGCCTGCGCAGGGCGCGGGCGGCCTGTGTTGGTAACCGAGGCGGCATTCTGCAACATACAGTCAGTAAATGGGTCGCGGCGAGGATTTTGAGGGCATCGTACGTGTCTGGTGAGCAGGAAGTGCCTGTCCTGCCGCTGGATATGCTGGTGATGGAAAAAGTCGACGAAGCTTTCGAGCTTCAACTTCGATCGGACAAATTTCTGGCGGTCCGTGCGCCATCATTGAGGTTGATTTGATTGGCCAATCAGCCACACCCCTTTGACTACTCGTCAACCCGATGATGTTTTCACTAATACCACCACAGCGGAGAGAAAAGGCTTCTGAAAAGAGTCGAAAGAAACGGGGAAATAGAAGAATAGCAATAACTATCCCTAGCATTCGAGACCAGCCACACGGTCGCTAGGTATCTTCTAGGTGGTCCGGCATTGGTCCGGCCGTGTGGGGCCGCGTCTTCGGATGGCTGCCGACTCTACCGTGAAGGGTTGAAGTCTCATAACCCATGTCCAAGTTGCAGAATTATGAGAACTACACGTTAAGTTGTTCTTCAGTCACTGAAAAAGAGACATGGGGGCTGTTCACAGAAAGGTTGCGGTCATTTTGGTGCCATGCACCATTATGGCTTGGAAAACTTTACTCGTTGACTGTGAGAAACCCATTTAAAGACCAAGAGATTGACGCAATGCACTGAAAGACTTTTCCCAGATCTTGTCTATCATCGCACCCATTTCAAACTGGAGACATCTTTCTGCTACTTAATCTCCTCTATTCCAAAAGTATTTAACATGACTACCACCACCACAACAAGAACAAACATGGCTGTCAACAAACGCTATTTCGGGCACGCTACTGATTATTTTCTGGATAACTTGGAATTCGCTGATAAGCATCTCCGAATCCGTGGTCGATGGATCACCCACCACAGCGAACGATTTGCCTCAACCCTTCTTGCCGCGTCAGCGGAAGGAATCGAATGGGCACGCAAGAAAGAAAGGAGGCTAACCAGCGAGTGTCTAAAGAGGACCGCCACACACAAGAAAAAGTTAGAGGAAGCCTTTAGAGATGAGACTCGATATTTCGACTTGATTATCGAGCTTAAGCAGATCCTTCGAGAGCATTACCTGCTCAAGTACCTCGGCTGCCGCCGGAAAGATCTCAAACCCACCTTTCAGAAATACGGTGCTGTTGAGAAGGTCAGCGAGTTCTTCCGATGCGAGCACTTACGTCGTGAAGGCATGACCTGGGGAGAAATGATCCGGGCTATAGATGAGGAAGAGCGCCAGCTCTGGGCATGGCAGACATCGCGCAGTCTTCAGGATATTAGTCGTTATGGCGAAAGCATCCTCGGACCAAAGCCAACAGCACCAGTCACAGAAATTGCGAAAGGCATTGCCGTCCTATGTGGCGAGCTAGACGGATTTGATGCCACAACTGCCTTTGAGTCATTGGTCTCCATCGTCCGAGAGAATACGGGAAAGTCCGATCGGGACTTCAACGAATACACGGCATTCCTCTGGAACGCATCCTGGGAGGAATTGGCCGAACGACTCCGCAATGACAGAGCGCGATTAGATCGGAGATTTGCCGGAGATCATAACAAGGCATTGAGGGACCTACTTGAAACAAAGATGGACGAGATGAATAGCCGCCTTTTCAAGAACAACTTTGTAAGCATTAGGTTGGGCATCAGCTGGGTGGAGCCGACACGAGAGGCATGTGAAGAAGCCATCTTTTTTAGAGCTAGTATAGAGAGTTTAAGCAACAATTAGCAGTTAGGGTAGATTCTTCGAAGTACTTGACATCTATCACGCCATGTAACAGGGACAGTAGAGACGACGGAGATAATAGAGACAATAAACTGATAGGAGCCAAGGAACAGTTGGTGTGATACAGAAAATACAGCTCACGCAACGGTGAGGTTGAAGTTTCCCTGAATGTACGAATTACACGTGTGACAGCACGACTACACTGAGTCCAATGCTCGTCAGACTACCTAAATACAGATGCTGGCTTGCCACGACATCGGAACCCCAAATTGATCCCAAGTTTCCGGCATCAAACCCCCCAACCAATAGAACTCTCTTCTGAAAGAATACTGAGTCTTCACTTCTTAGCAATGTTCAGGCCGTGAAGCTTTGCCTGCAGGTGTTCAATGGTATCAGATGCACTTGGGCTCATCATCAAGTGACCGATACCAAGGAACATCTGAGCTTCGTCTGGGGTCATGTTCTTCATGAAGTCCATTGCTCCATTTGGGCTCGTCAGAGTGCGGAACAGCTCAGGTGTGATGGGGCCGTCCAATTTGTTGCCACCGAGCATCTTTTCGCAGAAGGTGAAGAATCGCTCAACCTCACGCTTCGGGACACCGCTCCACTGCAGAAACGAAGACTCGATCGCACGTGTCTCTTCGAGACCAAAATCTCCAGCGAGGTTGTAATGCTTGGAAAGCTTCAATCCGAGGATATCTGCAGCATCAAATGGATGCTTCTGGCGGTGCTTCACCAACCGGTCGATCCACATAAGGATAAGGCGGCGCGTCTCCGACCCGGCCGGTAGTCTTTTGTTCTGCTCGCTAATGGTGCCCATGATGGTCTTGTGCGCATTGGCTTTCATCCATACGTTCTTGTAGACAGAAACCTCGGCCTCTCTCCATGTCATTCCGATTGTGTACTCGTGCGAATACGGGTTGGGGTCGTGGTGGAGGTATCGTTGGCAGTGGCCGGCAGCACGACTCTTTGCGGTAGCGTCCTCCAGAATCTTATCTGTCAATTTCAGAAAGTGCTGGAGATATACGTCGTACGGCTCTTCCTTCAACTTGGCCAGGTGCCCTGGCCCTTTCATGTCCGCCCAGTGCTGGGCGAAGTATCTCATAATCGACGACCGAAGAGCCTCTGAAATACCGTCGCGAGTGACGACGAGGCCCTTCTGTTCGACAGGATAAGGGTGAGGAACCCATCTCTCGGTAGGGTAAAGCGGCACCGAGGACAGGCACGACACATGACGAGATTTGACGTAAGCATCGTATGGGAGCACAATGTGATCATGGCCAACTTTTGAACCAAGAAGGTCAATCACGTACACACCTTCTTCCGTCGAGACGCCTCTGATGTGGCAGCTGAGGATTGGGCGAGGCCAGAACATAGGATCTTTGCCTTTTGAGGTCTGAAACTCATTGGTTTCGCGGGATATGTCGCCAGCAGTGGATGCAATCCATTCAGCGTTGCGACTGAGGACGGTCATCTCGACAATCGCATCGCAGTGTGCTGCTGATGATAAGCATACTGTAACAATTGGGAGTGAGGGTAAAGGCCACCTACGCGCAAGGATGAGGTATATCAAACCCTGAAGGTGGTAGTAGATGTTGTCAGTAGCGTCCCACGCTAAAAGCTTCCTCTTGACATCCGGGTCCGCTGTTTTCAGACATGCCTTCCAGTCCAAACCTTCTCGACCAAGCCAGGGCCCACAAGCTGCGACTGTTGACGAGAAAACGGTGCGAGAGTTCTTCATAGTCATCTTGTCAGCCAGGTCTTCCGTCGCGGGCATGTCTCCTCTTCCATCTAGATTCATCGTCACTGCCGCATCAGTGAAAAGCTCCGAATAGGTAAAGCTTTGGAACTTTTGAGCCACCGCACGTAGCATGTCGACGGCGCGGAGGAAGTGCTTTCGCTTCTGACAAGCGTAGTAGTGGTTATTTGACCAATCTGCCTTCTGGCACTTCTCCGAACAATAGGCGCGCCTCATGTAGCGGAATGCCTCGACGTGGCAGCCTGAGCAGTGCCGCAACCTATTGGGTGAATTGGCGCAGCGAACGTGACAGAAAGCGCACTTGTTCACATCAAGAAGCTCATGAAGATCATTCAACTTTGTACTCGCAGCTACTTGATGTAAACGGTTATCGGAATCCTCGTCATGTCGTCCTTGGTAGATGAATCGAGTGTATCGAAGCCAGGCTTGCTTTCTGGGTAGTTCGGTTGCATCGTTCGAAGAGGAAGATGCAGGATAGGCACCAGGTACGGAGAGTTCATCGGCGGCGACGGGGGCCGGGCTGACTGGAATAGTGCCAGAGACAGCGAGTTGACCGAGAAGCTGGCTGAAGGTGCAACGGATGGAGAGATCAGACCGTTCGTGGAGGGAGAACGCAAACCGCGTCAGCCACCAGTAATCATGGGCGTTGGGGTCGCTTGAAATCTGGACGACACGCTGGAGTGAGGAGTTCGCGTAAGGCCAAAGGGCGAGTACAAATCGGCGGTTGTAGTCAGCAATGCCCTTCTCGAGCTTTACGTCCGGAGAGATGACCTTTTCGTCATCGGCCGGCGTGGGAAGCGCAGCAAACATGCGATCGAGAGGGTCTCCAGGCTGCCGATCGTAGCGCTTTGAGCGGTCGAAGTAGTCAGGGAGACCATCCTGGAAAAGGTGGTAGTCGATCTCAATGAGATTCCGCCGAGCTTCTTCATCGAGGGTGTCTGCCGTTTTATTCCCCTTGCGCTGAAAACGAAGCCGACCATTAGTCTGAAGCCTAGAAACGTAGTGGAGGACATACCGAGTAGCCTGACACGTCGAGAACGCGCTCGAGGTGATGGCGGTCGGCCAGAGTGAACCAGGAGGGCGTGGGGGTCGGGTACAAACCGCCGGAAGCCATCTCGGTGGGTTTCTGGACGGGCGAGAACAGCGTAAAGGTGGCGAGGACGAACACGTCGGGGACGATTTCAGAGAGGATGCGGGCAATGGGGTGGCCAAGAGACGTGTAGCACGGCCAACCCGATCGAGGATAATTTGCGTTGCTGTGTGGAAAGATTAAAAAACGCGAAAAGAAGTCAAAGAGGTTTTTCCCATGATTGGGTGAAAAAAAGACGGAGAAAAATCATTCACCTGTTGTGATGTAGGAGGAAGGAGCCCTCAGTCGTTCCTGCCTTTATCACTCTTCATCCCCGAGTTCGGGTGGATCACAATGGGAGTCATGCAGCTGAGGCAGCAACTCGACAGAACATTCGACGAAATACAAAACAAGTCCTTTACCTTTGAGCTCTGAAACTCAGTGATTCCGCGTCAGATCAACGCCGGCAGCTCTAGGTCGACTGGGCCACCACCAACCTTTACTCTGGCCGACCCCTTCAAGAGTGTGCTCTGTCTGGTCGGCTTCTCCTTGTTTTGCTGTACCATCGGCCCCCAAATCTGTCAGAATTGCCACTCTTCGATCGTTCCAAGGACAATACGTATCAAGCCATTGCCTCCATGTCTTTTCCACAAACCCCTTTTGAGACCCATCACTCAAAATCAGACGACCGTCCTCGAACTGGCGCCTCAACGTGCCGAGTATAATCTTGAAGATGCCGACCGAAGCTCCATTTACCCAATTCCATGGGTAACCTCTTTCAGTTTGTCGTTTACGCCATGCTTCGGCTCGCATGAAGTACTCAAGCACCAACTCAGGGGCAGTTTTCGACACCGCGTGGCCTTCGTTGGCCCAGATTCGCTTGTGCAATCGAGCTTGTTCTTCCCTACTATTCTTTGACATAGTGACCATAATCTCCTCAAAGTTGATTTCTGCTGTTTGGATGTCCTGAGCGGATATGAATGTCCCTCGTTTGTTCCCGTCGTTGTCCAAAAACGTTGGAACACAATCAGCCATGGCGCAGAGGATCGGCGGGGAAACTGCAAATGCTACATGATCATGGATTCCAGCTTCCAAGTCTTCAGCTGTACTCTCAAAGTCGGATAAGAGGACCCTCAACACATCTTTTCTGGAGTCCTTGTCATTATAGCATAGGATCTTGTGTGCAAAAATGCCAAAGCCGTCATTGAACTCAATGGTGTACCGGCATGTCGACGCTTCGCACTCAGGGAAACCACACCAGCGCCAGTCGCAGTCCGGCGTATTACCCAAATTCTGGAGCTCGCGGTCCTTGTAACGATCTCTAATCTTTCGACGACGAAGCAAAATGTTGTAGTACGCATCATGTCGATGATTTCGAGTCGATCCCTCAAATGCAAAACTCGGAAAAGGGGCTCGGGCACGCTTGTCCACGACTTCAGTGGTAAAATCAGGAGGTGTTTTCCAGCTGTCATCCAGGAAAGTTTGAGACATAAACCACTCCAGAGCAGGACCATGCTTGCTATAGTCCAGTTTTGGAACAGGTGGAAGCTGTTGCAATTGTCTCAGATCCGGGGCGGAACGGCTGCTTCGCAGTGAATTCTCGCTTCCGCTGCTACTGCCTTCTTCATCTGAGCCCCAGTCTGACAGGGCCAGTGGAGGTGAAAGTTCGAGGCTTCCAAGGCTTCGGACGCTTCTGAGGGAACGTAATGAGGGTGATGAATTCGCATCTCTCTCCGAAATTAGTTCAAAAGAGCCATCAGGATCACTTAGAAATGACCAGTCATGACTGTCATCCATGGCGGATGATGAAGATGTCTCATGATAATCTCGCCTATTTTCGCCTTTGTCGTCGAGATCTTGATTATTTTCAGTGGGAGGATTCGGGAAGAAGAAAGAGTTGCCTTCATTCTCAGCCATTCTGGACGCCGTTCGAAGAAATTACTGGTGATCGAATATTCTGGGTTACGACTGTGATGCTGGCCATCGGATTCTGATGCGGTAGAGAAGCAATGAGAAGATAATGGTTCGACCATTTAAGTTCTGCTTGGTCGACATGGCTTCATATATAGGCAACCATATCTCTCAGAACATATCACAACTGGCTTCACACAATGCCATTAATGATGAACAATGCTCAGTAGCCGTTCTTTCATGACGCACTCGAGGCCTGGTCTCTGTGATACCTGACCATAGCTCCTGCGTCATAACAAAGGACCATGGATAGTGGCCTGGCCATCCCATGGGATTGGAATCAACTCGAACACAAGCTTGCAGTTTACAGTGTCATGTGGAAGAAAGCATACGAGAGACGTGCAGACAGAGGGACATGATATGCGACGAAAGTTTAATATGTGCAACTTTAGTGACGTTTATTCAATGAATCCTTTATCACAAGTTGGAGAATTCAGGCTTTCAAAGACCGGAAGAACAAAGGAGGACAAGGGCCTGAAAAGCTTCAAACCCCAGTAGACCTGACCTGCAGGCTACTGGATGAAGTGGACGTTGCTTGCCTAGTCCAGATCTGATCCCTTGTTGACTTGATACCAGCTATCTTCCAACTCGCCGTTGTCGTCCTCCAAGTCTGAGGCCTTCCGTTTGCAAATTTCCTCCGAGGGTGTGCCTGCGGCCTGGTCCGCACCCTTGGAATCATCGTCTCCGTCCAAAATATTAGTAGCAGCGGCCGATTGCAAAGCTTTAGTGGTCTCTCGCTTGCGGCGTGCGGCCTCATCGGCCAGTTCTTCGGTCCGGCGAGAACGGGCCTCGTAGCCGGCCACCAGCTCCTTGACACGGCCGCCCCCAAAGGATCCAACTCGAATAACTCCAGTGTTGCCAATTTCCGAGTGCTCATAAACGTCTGGGGATCCAATGGTATTGCTACGATTATTGATCTTAGACTTGTTGGGATAGGAGTTGGAGAAGTCGGCCGGAGCATCGGATGGCTTGCAATCCTCCAACCATTGCATGCAGCGGGCATGGTATCCGGCGCCACCATGCATGTTCTCGAGAGTGTCTGACATTGTGTTGGCTATTTGTGAAGAGTTCGTGTTGAGTTATGTTGATGGTATGTGTTGCTTCAATTGATTCAGTTGGAAGTGACTTGCTTCTGAGATCTGAAGGAAGACGAAGGCAAACTGGTCCATTTATGTAAGTTCCGGATGAAAATCATACTTGAATCAATGAACTTATTTGGTTCTGTAAAAGACCAAGCAGTTGAATGGCTTTCTTGTTGCCATCCTCAGGACAACGGAAATACAGGTTTACCAATTCAAAGAACAGGCTTCTGCGTGTACCACGTTTTCTGTCTGGACACAATGGGCGTAGTCCAAGTGCAAAAGACCTAAAAGCCTACCATAAGAAATCTGGTGAATAATACTTTGGCTCATAGAAAATAAGATTTGGGGCTCATATCGTCAAAAGATATCAAAGGAAATGGTCCTTATGCGTATTTGACAGGCCAAGGTCTCAGAATTAACTCCCTGGTTGCATCAAGCCTACAATCCCGAGATAAGTTGCAAAGGCTAAGTTTCGATGCTAGTAATTTGCAGCGTTGGAGTGGCGAAGAACATGGCGGTTTGAAGGGAACAATCGACATCTGTGTTCCGGGTACCCAATCTTCACAGTCTGATTCTCTGACAGTCTTTCCCATGCTTATCTCATATACCTGAGCGCTCTTAAGCACAGTAAATATGATGAAAAAAAGAGAACCCATATGTTGGCTTGAGCTAAACTCATCACCAGACCAGAAAAGACTGTTGAGCGAAGTTTGAAAGCCCGACTATGCGCAATTGTCTGGGAACTTGATGTCATCCCATCCAGAACCGTATTTCAACCACTCAGCATCCAACATCCAATAAGACGTACGTCCCTCAAAGATCACTCCGCAACTCGCTTGTTCTTCTTGTTGGGATGCCTCTGTTCTGCACGCGGTGAAGTCAGCCTGGGGGACGTTGTCGATCTGATCTGAGACATGCCGAAACCATGGCAAACTCAGCCAAGTTTGAAAGTGGCTGGCCGGTTGCGATCCGGGAACAAGAAAATACTGGATGTTGCGAAGGAAGCCGCTATGACAACCGATAGACAAAACAAAAGAAGAAATTTTAGGGAGCAGAGAATGCCTTGTGGGCGACACTAAGAACATAGAATTCAGCCATGTGAAGCGACGTAGGTCGGAGTACACGACGTTAGACCAGCTTGACCTTGGCGCCAAGGGAAGTTTGCTTGCTTGTTCATTCCGGGGGCCTACGCGCTGGGTAAGACTTCGTGCGATGTAGCGCTTTGGCGGACAAGAACACATGCGCTCTTCCAGCCACAGCGCCATTCCATCCGGTTGAAACCAAATTTAGGTACCCAAAGTCTGGTCATGCCAGTGCTAAGTGGCCGGCATGAGTGCAAGAATATCATCTCAGGCATTGGGGGTGAGTGTCACATCGGAGAAATGGCAACGAAAGGATTTCACATGGCCTCAACGTATGCGCAGAAGTCGAAGAGCAAATATTTCCAATTTTAAGCTTGTGACAGCCGGATCGCCTCATAGAGTGTACCCCATCGAGATGCGCTGGGCGTCAGTAAAGTGATCGACTCTTGTTTGCCCTCGTTAGACCGTGGCACATGTGCTAGACCAGGAAGGCCAAAGCAACGTAAACTATCAGACGTTACTGACGCCAAGTGATACTCGTTGGGATACGCTCGAAAACCTCGCCCAAGTCTCAGAGATCGATATTGCTGGCCGGCCGGGCCAGATTAGCCCTCCAATGATGTTTGTTGATAGGGTCCTTCTCATACAGGTTGATCTCGAAGAACCTATCGTGTATGTCACATTTGAAGTTCTTGAACCTAAATGAGACGGGTTAGCAGGGGCATTCTCTGAAGTCCAGTACCGTTCAATGCGAGAAGAAGGATTCACCGTGGAGGGATGAGGAAGAGAGGTTCCATACGAATTGACCTTCTGGAAGTTGACTTGGATCAAGAAGTCTTCAGCAACCTCCACATATGAATGGGTGCGATCCGCAAAGCTGACAAAGTACCGCTTGCTCTCTAGCGGCCCATAGTTGACTTGACGCACCAGCTGGATTGCATAGAGAGGAAGGCGGTTGGAACTATCGATCTTGGAAGTTTCTTCTATGACTGTCGGCTGGCTGTCTTTGGCCCAGGCCATGAATTGAGTGAACCTTGCCTCATGATCGGTACGCAGAGCCTTGTAGGGCTTGAGGGACTCGCAGCAAAGTAGTGCAGACATGGCGTCTACTTGATTGATGTTCAGAAACAGAAAGAAAGTAGTTCGGAGAGACTTGCTGGATTGCGGAAGAAAAAGAGAGCGGGATTCCTCCATTACCATTTAATACAAACTCATCAAAGGAGCATTTGAAGTACTCGGTCTGTCAGGACCTAGCCACGGATACCAAGAGCCCAATGCCATCTCTATTATCATTGGCTGTCGCACATCAGATGAGGCCTACAAGAAATAAGATTTCACAACACATGAAGACACATGGGCCATGGTTATCAAGAAGATAGAGTTGAGGCCTACCATTCCACGCGTCCAATCATACTGGACGCTTGTCATCTTGCTCAGAATGCTCCCGGCGATAAATACCTCCCCCAACCAACGTGCTCATTTCCCGGATTTCTCTCCCTTCCCCACGGCCGGCACATGTTGTGCGAAGCCTGTCACTCCTTTTCACAACCTTCGTTGCCGACCAGATCACTCTTTTTCTTGCTTTGAAGCTTAGCCCTTGCCCTCTTGTTCTTGCCATAACCATCCAGCAGGCTTACCACTCCTTCAACTCTTTCTCGGGTAGGCCTTAATCTCAAGTTCAGACCCCTCAGGCTCGACTGGTCTAGGGTTCTTTTATCATCATCATCATCAGTCTCTCGAAACCGTTGATCCTCTGTGGGTTCAGACCGGTAGTGGAGGGCCACTCGAAGAATATGACTGGAGTACAGCGTCTAGCTTCCTCCAGCCTGCTGGGCATATCGATGGGGAGCAGGAGAATCATGGGCAAAATAGAATCGAAGTCGAGAGGAACGTTATTCCTCAACAGTCCTTACCAGAAACACAACAGTATCCTGGCAATAACGACTATCAGGACGATGTGTCCGCTGAGGAAGCCATTGCGGTCCATGATAGAGAGTCTGGCCTTTGGCGATGCGACCAATGTCAACGTGTTCACCAGAAGCGATACCTTCTCAAGTAAGTCTCTCCCGAGAGTGTCCAAGGAGTGATTTAATTGTGATTGAAGCCAATGCATCACGAAACACGCCAGACAATTCAAGTGCACAGAAGAGGGTTGCTCTTCAACGTTTGTTTACAGGAAGGATCTACGCCGCCATCGGGAGGACAGACATCCTGAAACTGTTGAGGGTTTCTTACCTTACTTCTGCCCTCACAATGGCTGCAAGTATTCGGAAGGGAAAGGCCGTGGATTTCCCAGGAAATACAATCGCGATAGGCACGTCCGCACACAGCATCGCAACCAGCCCTTGGGCTATTAGAGTTAGACTCAATGAAACCGAATGCCAGGCATAAACCTTTGACCCCCCAAAGTACTATGACTCGAATTCACTCCATGCCATCAGCGACACCCAACCTTCCCGCACGGAGAACGAGCGCCATTAACCGCCGGCACCGTCGAATTGCCAGCCCCAACGGCCAGCTGCGCGGCCCAAAGCCGCTAGCGCGAGCAGCGCAAAATTCCCAAGCGAGTTTGGCGGAATCAGAATGCTGTGAATGGCCAGCCTTGTGCAACTGCGGAACTCGTAATTCAGTTGGGGGACTGTGGCTTACGCTAGCTAATCTCACCACGAGACTTAGGCTCGATTTTTGCTCCCTTTTTGTCTTAGCTGTCAGCCCCAGCTGTTCAGCTACATCATCCCGGCCGGAAGCTATGAGGGGTCTTTCAGATGATCTGAGCTGTGAAAGGACAGAAAATCTGCGGCTGTATGCCGGGGATTATTTGCGTCCGGAATGTTGTGACCTGACATGGTGTCGATCTCGCGGAGAGCTTAGATATAAGCATGTCTGTCATCCCCCTCCCGGCAGATGCCCCTGCCCAGCTTTTCCCCTCGAATCGAAAGCCTATACCCTGGCAGACTGCATCCCAAGGGTGATCACACGACTATAACTTGGCAGAGGGTCAGCCAGAAGGGCATCGTGCAGAGGATCTCCCAGCATGGCCAACATCGATCAAGACCTTTGGGTTCCAGGTAACTTGACCTGGGACCAACTAAACTTCCATAACAACTGCACTGGTAGGTACCCACCTAATCTCTACAAGCTATCATCGCGTAGCTCAAAACGACAATAGCATGGGGTCAATGGCTTGGAGCATTGGTGCAACCTGACCCTTGGGACCCAAGTTCGACACGCGGAATGAGCATGGAACTCTCGATGATACTCTTTCTCAACTCCATACCCGATAATTCCAGTAACTATACCAGTCTGACCACATGGTACGCCGATGTATCTTCTTTCTTCGCCTACAACATGATGCACACTCCTATTCCGAACGCCACCTCCCCCAAATATTATCAGTTTAGCCAGCGATTCAACGACACCATCCTTTGGGGCCCGAAAGAAAAGTGCGAGGCCGATTTCTGCAAAGCTGTCGGATATACAGGAAGTCAGGATTTGTGTGGCATTGGAGTAGGTGTCTCTCATGTGCGTTGGTGTTCAGTTTGGGCTGATGTGTTTGCAGGTAGTGGTGTCCTACTTCCTCGAAGCGCTTCTCGGGACGATATATCTCATTGCCTTCACCGTCCATCAGTCGATTCGATACTTCAACAGAAATACGTACAAGAAGAAGAGACAAGCTGGCCAACCGCAGACTATCAGCGAGCGAATCCTTGACTCTTTCCGCGGCTCCTTGGACATGTTCCTAAGCGGGGCCATGCTGATTGCTGTCGCCATGCTGGGGGCGGCGCTTTATTCCAGTATTACCAACAAAGAGGAGAGAGAAAAGGTCAATCCGGATCTGCCTTCAGGCGAAGCCGTCTATGAAATGGCGCTCTCTCTAATTGCCTCCAACTTCTCGGTATTCCCGGTCATGCTACTCTATGCTTTAGTAAAGCATGACGGCCATCGGAAGTGGCTTCATCGCGCTGTGTTGTTCATTCTTTGGGGCCTGAGCGCATCCGTAGTCTACATGGCGCCGAGAGCTGAGGTAGACTATGCAGAGCGCAAGAGTGGCCATGCGAACTTTGACTGCGACCAGCGCGGCTCGCAATACTGGCACGTTGTCAAGGCGACCCAATTCCTTGTCATAGGGCTGCCTCTACTCTGGCTTATCATCACCATTCTTCTGACCACAGGTTTCAAGATCCCTGGCTTGGTCGACAAGCCCTGGGTCAAGACATGGAGGTCGATTTGGCGCCTTCTGATTGCGTGGATCAACCTCTTTCTCATGTGGGGCATTCTCGCCTACTTCACGCACTTCAGACAGAAGATCATTGATGCGGCGGGTGGTCTAGACAAGAATGATAAGTGGACATTTGGCCAGGTACTTGCCTTGGCCGCGTGGGTTCCAGTCGTTGCAGAGCTGTTCTACATCTTAGCCTGTAAGTACTCACCTATTGATTTGAGGAACCATCGGATGCTGAAATTATTGCAGTTGGCCTGGAAGACAGTTTGTCAGGGCATATGCCCTCAGATTATCACGCTTCGCTTGTCGGAAACACTGTCCAGGTTGACCCAAGTCAGGAGAGACCTTTACTTCATAGGGATTCGACCTACGATATGCGACATGCCTCAGTCTACAGCCAAGCGTCGATGTACGATCTCAAACAAACTTCGACAAATGCCTCATCGGCCACAACACTCGCTTCTCCACCAGCATCAACACCTTCGACTCAAATGGCATGGCACGACCCGAACTATCAACCATTTCAACAGCAACACACAACAAATGCACAAAGACATCAGAGCTGGGACCCGTATTACCATACTGGGTGGTAGGAGAACTTTGCAAAGGAGCCATAGTTGTTCTAATATAGCTAAGACGAAGGAGAGACGGAACTATGGCATCATGTACGATACATTGCAAACGAAAGTATTAATCCTCATGTGACGGAAAGCATGAATAGACGAGCGAAAATGAGAGCTGCTTGTACACTAGAATCTCGCTAATATCAGCCACACTTTAAAGACAGTTATATTGCTCGCGAGCCTCGCTGATGACATTAGGTCGACCGCAAGAAGTCTTCCGTCCTCTATGTATAGGTAGATACATTGGATGGTGGAAATCGCGATCAGAATTGAGATCATGGGAGGGAAAGGACAAGTTGATTCGTGAGCCCGGCCACCATATACCGAATAAGTAGAAACAGGACAAGAACCAAGTTACCTTCAAGCCATAGTTTCATCCGAATTACGCTGTATTGGTCTACAAGGATTGGGCAAAAGGCCCGGATAAGTCTAACATTCTGAGCTACTTCCAGAATTGAGACAAATCTAGCATGGCAAAGGGTAGATCAGCGTCGTCGTGACTACCCATCTGCTCCACAATGGACAAGAAATCATCAGATGATATTCCGATGCTATCAAGGAACTCGGCGTTGCTCGGTGTTTCTGGTGCGCAACCTAGGGGCTGAGGCTCGCTAAGCGTAGTCATGGAAGCCAAATCAGGTTCCGCAGTTGAAGACTCCCAGATACTTGGGAATGGCCGCAGTTGAAGCGAACGTACAAGCGGCCTCGAGGGTTGAACGTCAGGCTGATTAACCCGCATGGCAAATTCATTGAAAAGAAATTCCAGATGAGTTAACTCAGCTTTCCGTACTTCCGCCACGGAGTTGCCCTTGTGGATCATGTCATCCAAGATTGCATGTGCTTCTCTGCCGTGTGTTGGCCCGTCTATTTCGGTTGTAGATGGAAATAAGGCATTTGCAATGGTGAGATGAATCGCCGCACCGTATGCGTACTCAAGATCGAAAGGAAGGAAGACCTCTATTGTCTGGTAAGTCTGATGCGATTTCAAGAAGTCGCCTGGAAACGCTTACCGATTAGAGTGTCCTCTCCGGAGAGGATCTGGAGTGTCTTAACTGCAGACTTGATTCCTGTTGACATCAACGGGATAAGCGGAGCCATGAAGCCCTCCATGTCCGGTAGTCCTCGGCCAAAATGGTCGAGTTGTTGTTTGAGCGCTGACAGAAGTAGTGGCCGTGTGGCGATAACCACGCACTGGGCATTGGATGTTAGCAGCGAAATCACCAGGTTGGGAATGGAGCAACTGCACTTGATGATAAAGAAGAGTAATATCTCTCGTTCCTTTTGGCATTGTGTCCACCGAGTTTTGGAATTTGACACGAGTGATCTTTTCGATCTCCTGGGCATGTCCTGCCAGAGTGTGCAAAATCGACTTTGTTTCTTCAAGAAACTTGCCTAACGGGGTCTTTTCAGATTTGTAAACGGCTAAATAAGCCATTAGCCGTGAACAAACTCTGCAAATGATACTGGATGCGTATTGACTGACTGTTGATGATGGAGGACAGTAGATGAGATAGCTTTACTCTCAAACCCAGAGTTGTATCCTGAGGTGATGCCATGCTGGGCGGATCGAGCAAGGTTGTAATGTCAATGTCCCGAGTATTCATCGGAACGCCCAATGAGCATGAAAAATGGCGGTCCATGATATATAGAGTCCACCACAACTTCCGACAGCGTGCTACTGTGTCAGATCCCAAGGCCTCTTCAGGCAGCTGGGTGTGGAGGCCTTCCAGCTGGGCTATTCGTATTGCCTGGGCGACCTTGAATGTGGTGAACGTCAGCTCAGTCTTGTCGAGGAAGATGTATACTTACATATAGCTGTGCTGACTCTCTTTGATAAATTGAGTATAAGTACAGACCGGCTAGGGCCAGAACCTCGATTGCAAGAAGACTGTCCTTCCACAACAACGAGGGATCAGGCAAAAGTGACATCGCACGAATGAAAAACTTGGAGCCTGGCGGCTCTTTGGGGGTTTTTGATCTCGAAAGAAAGGCTTGCCCAAAGGATAAGACCAACAAAAACTGAACAAACCACAGCCGCGACTCGGCTGCTTTTTGGACAGGGTTACCATAGTAGAACTCATTTACGTTCTGGACGAATACTTCGTCGTCGAGAAATTGATAGTTCTGGCCAAGGTGAAATTTCACTGTGTTATATAGATAAAGAGCATGCTCGATGGAAGGAGGGCCTTTGATGTCAGGCGGCTCATCTGCGCCTGCAGCACTCCACTTTAGAGTATATATTTCGTCGTTGAGGAAACTCGGCGCACTGAAGGGAGTTTCAAGCTGGAGCTTCTCCGCCATCATTAGAGTAAGTCGGGCGGTAAAGGACCATGTTGAAGACGGTGCCAGCCAGACTATCAAGATCTCATTAGCTAGTCTCAGGTGCAATACGACTGGAAAAAAAGAGAAATTACTCCAGTTTCTTTTGTTTTGATGAGTGTTTCGGATCGTCGTGGACGGCAGCGTGAAGGGACTTGTGTATACACAATGTGTTTCATCGCTAGATTGGACTCTTCTTGAACCCCTTGGTGACGTTACTGCAACTGGAAATATGTCAGAAAAGGAATGAGCGTGCTTTAACTTGGTAATTCGCTCACCGTCGTCATCGTTCTCGGAGCCGAAAGCAGCATCACACGATCTCTTGCTTCCGGTCGAACACACGTCCGAGGCTCGTCTTCTTCTATCATCTTCGCTTCTGATGTGAATCGATCTCTCTGAAGAAGATGCCTTCGTGCCCGAATCCTCATACTTGCATCTGACCACGCGTCGTCTACAGTTTGCACATGGCTCATCACCAGTACACTTGATTTTGCTCGTCCGACACGGTATGCATCTGGATAGTCTCCATGTGAGATCTTGCATTGCGGAGGGTTGTGGTGAGTCTTACGCGTTTGTAGTCCTTCTAATCTTCCTCCGACCACCGTCCATTTTTGAAGCACGGTCAGAACGAGCCCTCTTGAACAACAAGAAGGACAATGGCTCTTTCTTTGACGTCGAAGAATGAGTGAGTATAACTAAATTCGCAGCGAAAACTATTGATAACAGGGCACGCGGCCGATATCAAAGATGGATGCTACCGATCGATGAAGCGCAGAGACGCTGATAGCGGGTGGATGACAAGTGGGGACAGAGTCGTGTACCCCGCGAAATCACACAAAATCGTGCCAGACAAGCTCGTGACCCCACGACGGCAAGAATCTGGGGAAGGACGCTATGACACACCTTTAGCTAATGTGGTATGTCCATGGAAACTACTCCTAACTATTTAATGACATAACACTCGCGCATTCTGACTAGAATCCATTGGCTTGTGTGCGCCAGTGAACGGCCATCAAAGATACCTCAGCGATTCGAACGGGTTTGCCTGGGACACGGACATCTGTCATTGACCTCGCGGATGGGCTTTTTGATAAGAAACTTTTCACATTGCAGGCACGGTGGGCTCTGTCACATGCATATCTGTTTGATAAAAACGTCATGGAGTCGGTGGCCTAATAGTCTCTGCCTCCCATTCCTATCTCAACGAAGGCTACGTAGATAACGAAGTTTATTGCCAAATCTTGAACGCGAAAATCGCACCGTCTGTCCTACCCGAAATTAGTGATTCGATCCGGAGCAGCCCCTCCTGATGTGGGGCCAAGAAGCCGAGCAGGGATCGGGTGCAGGGATCGGGTCGGGATGGCGCCGTTATCAAGAAGCCGAGTGAGCAAGTCGTCTGCTTGTGTCAAGCTTCTGCTATCCTGAGGAATCTCTTATCTTCCAAATCTATCGTCGCCAACTTTGAGAGAAAAGAGTTTTGGTCTTTGATCATCTGAGTAAGGTAGATAAGAAGAAATCGAGAACCACAAAAGAGAATGGGTCATCTCGTTGCTGAGTTGATGGCGATAGCGGGCCACTCCTGTATTTTATTCCCAGTCGGAGGCTAGGCGTCTCCATTCTCCGTCATATGTCGCGTGATAGTAATCGCAGAAGATCTCTTCAATTAGAAGATTTTCATACATATTTCATACATATTTCTACATACACATTTTTTTTTATGTAGTTCCAGAACAGGCTTTTATTTTGAATACAGTGAACGCTCGCAGCCCGTCTACTTTAATAGGAAGCATGGGAATTTCTCCGTTTTGGGAAATATCCCCGAGGCGCACGCACCAACAAAGCAACATGCGAAGAAGAAGGCTTAGAAATTATTGAATCTATGAATTTGTACTCAGTTGTAGGATCTGAAGTAAAGCGACCATGTCTTTTCATGAAAGTCTTTTCATCAAGCTCTTGAACCGAAGCTCACTCTCGTCTGTCAGACTCACTCTGGCCCGATTGATATTCCCTAAGCGTTACGATGCCCGCTGAAAGCATTGTGATTGTTGGGTAAGTAATGAATAGCACGTGACGTTAACGTAAAGAGTCGCTGACTTTATCAAATAGCGCAGGCATCATCGGCCTGGACGTTGCACTGGTGTTGGCAAAGGCAGGCCTCGGTAAACATACTAAGGTCGTAGCTGAATACCTGCCTGGAGACACTGCGGTCACTTACACATCCCCATGGTTAGGACTATTCGAACTCATTGAACCAGGCAAAGACATGGCTGACTCAATCAGGGCCGGCTGCAACTTTTCAGCCATCTCCGGCAGCGATGCCAACGCGTTGAGATGGGATCGCGTCGGTTACTCCCATCTCTGCAAGCTGGCATACGAGGCAGAGGAGGAGGCGTTCGTGAAGAGAACTCCATCTATCGAAATGTGGGATGAAGAGATTCCCCACGAAAAGATAAAATACATGTCTGACTACCTTGAGGACGTAAGAACTTTCATAAACACTGCGGTGATTAATCCAAAGCGCTGACAAGGCTATCATAGTTCAAAGTTTTGCCGCAAGAGGAACTTCCAGAAGGCGTCAAATTTGCTGTGTCTTTCACCACTTTGACTGTGAATGCGCCTGCACACCTTCTATACCTTTACCGGACGCTGAAGGATCGTTATGGTGTACGTTTCATCCGACAAAAGGTTCCCGATATCCAATCCGGCTTCCTCAGTCTCGACACAAAGGTCGTGTTCAACTGCACTGGTAACGCAGCCAAGACACTATCCGGCGTTGAAGACCAACGCTGCTACCCAACCAGAGGCCAGGTTGTGTTGGTCAGAGCACCGCAAGTCCGAACAAATGTAATGAGGCACGGCAAGGACTACGAGACCTACGTGATCCCGCGGCCTGGATCAAACGGGAATGCCATATTGGGAGGATACATGCAGAAGGGAAGTGGGTAAGTTCATTATCTGTCAAGCTCATCGTTGAGAACCTACATGTTGGCGTGAGCTCACCCTTGATAACACAGTGACGGTGCTACATACTATCATGAGACCATCTCCATTATGGATCGGACACACAAGTTGAGTAGCGAGCTTCGTGAAAACAATTCTGAAGTACTTGCGGTTGTTGCTGGGCTAAGACCCTCACGCGAATGCGGTGCTCGCGTTGAGGGTGTTCAGGTTGACGTACGCGGGAGGCAGGGTTTGATCGTACATAATTACGGAGCTGGAGGTACTGGGTTTCAGGCTGGATACGGCATGGCGTTGGAGGCAGTCGAGGCTGCTGCGACCGCTTTGAAAGATCTACAGCAGGCAGGCTTACGGTCGCGCCTGTGAAGGTGTAAATAGATACGCAGCAGCCTGGTTTTCATTTGTTACGAGTAAGAAATAAAGCTTCTGCTCATAATACGTCCATACTCATGGTGCCCTGGTTGTGCTTTCTCTTCGTCCCTGCCTACTGCTTTCATTATATAAGACGAAAAGACGGTTCTTTCGCATGAGGGGGCGTGACAGCATTTCAGGATTTAACGGACATGCAAGAACGGTTTACAACCTCCAATGCGGTAAATTGCAATATTTCTCCTTCTTGTTTCGAGTCTCTAACCATTGTATCCCTGGCTGATACATGCTTGGACTTTACGTGTATGATCCCGGGATGGATTTCGTTGCCAACGCACTGTAGTAGGAACTCAATGGAAAGCAACATATTTGATGTTTTGGAAATGAGCCGTCATCTTCCAACTGAAACTAAGCAGCACTGTAGTCTATCTCAAAGCTGTGCGCAGGGCTGTAATGCAGCGCCCAATATCCATCCCAGATCTTCTTCGTCAGAGGCCCAACTTTACCCGTTCCATTGACGGGCTGGTCGTCAAGTTTGGTAATTGGCATGATGCCCCCAGCCGTCGTACACATCAGTATTTCATCCGCCTGGTAGGCCAGCTCGACAGGAACAACCTCCTTACGGATAGGAATCTTGTTTGCCTCAGCAACTTCAAGAACGCTCTTTCTCGTCACACCCTCAAGGACGCCACGATCGGGTGTAAAAAGAGTTCCGTCTTTGATGAGGCAGATGTTAAACCCAGAGCCTTCCGTAAGGTTTGAGTCGCCGTCAGTCAAGAAGGGATAGGTAGCGCCTCGGTCAGAAGCCTCGAAGAGACCTCGCACCAAGTCACCCCACTGAAGATTTTTGACGGTGGGATCGATGGCACCTGGAGGAACCCTGCGGACAGTTCGTGCGATAACTGCGGAGCCCCCGTGAGGCTGGTCTTCAGGATCCATGCACCAAACGTAAGGCTGAATGAACATGTACAGATTGTTGTTCAATAGATCCTCCGGCTTCGCACCTCGGACACCCTTCAGGCCACGGGTCACAATGAGCTCCACAAAGGCGTCGCGAATGCCACTCTTAGCTACCATGTCAACCAGGATCTGCTTGACCTCCTCGCGGGGCAGGGGAAGTCGGAGACGCAACTTGGTGCAGCTGGCCTCCAAACGGCTGAGGTGGTCGTCTAGGCGGAAGAAGCGACCATCCCAAACAGAGGGAACGTCGTAGGTCAAGTCGCTGTGCATAAAGCCTTGATCCATAAGCGGAATTTGTGCCTCTGCGAGTGGAACGAGCTGTCCCTCTACCCATGCGATGCCTTTGGCAAACGGGTTGGTGGAAGTGGACTTCTCCAGGACTGCTTGCCGCTGCTGGTATGCAGCAAAGACCTTGTCCATGGTAGCCATCTTGAATTATCGTCGTTCAGTCTGTGGCGGACGGCGAAAGAGAATGAAAGGTGAAGCGGCAGCGGGCTTGTGAAGAGAGGTCGAGATAAATGACGAAAACGAATTTGTTTGGAGTGCCTTGAATAAACAAGATAATTGGTAGTTGATAATTGATGATTGCTTATTATCCTTGAGTTTCGCCTGTTAACCTTGAGATCTAATCGAACGCAGATGCTGTGATCTCTTAATTATCATGGCGCAAGTTATGACTGTGGCTGCAGTGACGCATCGCGAGGCAGTCTGTTGGATGCGGAGGTCCATTCCCCACAGCCGTGCAACACTGCAAATATTTCCCGAAATAGAGAGGCCGTCTCGCTGTGAAGACCTACATCCGGATCCTTGAGGCTGAATATCACCTAGGGCCAAGTCAACAAGTGTCTTCTGATCAGTGTAGATATTTCCTAATCTGGAGAAAACGGGATTTTGCCACATCTGCGTCGCAATCCATGCCTGCATCTCAACGTGCGGAGCTATCCATTGTAAAGGCCAAAAACACTAGTTCTTAGACGTTGCGTAATGATAATAATGCAGTATGGGAAATATTGGGCTGCGATTGCATTTTAGTGATATTTCTGCTTGAAGGCAAAGGACCATTTGCCTCTAAGGTACCTAGTTGTACCTAGTTGAGCCAAGCGTCCGTCACACCTTGAAGGCCCTTCGCCAACCATTCATCACCAAGTTTTGCGGTTGAGTCAAAACCGTGATCTCCAGGCCGAATTGCCAAATGCATACGAGATGATGGGTCTACTGTCTTCAAACGTGCCACAAATTTCCTTGTTCCCTCAACTGGTACTGCGGAGTCCTCTTCACCATGCAAGATGAAGCATTGCGGGAGTATGGGTTGGTTTGTTCGTCCCTTCCTGGTCAACAGTCGGAGAGGAAATAATTCGTCTTCTGTACCCAAGAACTCGAGAAACCTTCCATTTTGCACAATTGCCATGGCCAAGTCGAGTCGCGTTGGGGGGTCAGCTGCCGTCAAAAGTTTCTTGTCTCCAGACAATGGAGAAGTCAGAAACTCGTGAATGACCTCATCCGGGAAATTTGGAACGCCGACGATTGGCTTGCTAAATCTTCTGGTGTAATGCGGCGATTCAAGATCGATCATGGGATACGCCAAGATCATACCACTGGGACTAGCGAAACCGAGGAGAACTGATTGTAGGGCAAGATACCCCCCTGATTACACCAGAAAGACAGAAATGTCAGTTCAGTCGCTGTTTCTGGCCCAGAAGCTTCAACTCACCGGCGCTTTCGCCCACAACCAGCAATTGACCAAGATCAAGCTTGATGTTGCTCAACCCGACGCTTGCTAGCGATTGCTCGACACCGGTGCTGAGCCATGACCAAAAGTTATTCAGGTCTTGCAATATGTCAACTCCTTTGGCTTCGGGGAGCAAACGATAGTTGGGACTGATAATCACGGCATCGTGGAGTTCAGCGTAGTCCAAAATCCACTTCGTGAACCAAGCGGGGAAAAGGCTCGAGCCGGTGACCTATAAGACGATCAGTCTTCATCAAAATTCCCGGTACAATTCGATCCTAAGGTGAGTGACTGAACATACAAGAAACCCTCCGTGAATTCGTACAATCACAGGCCTTGGGCCTTGGGGCTTCATCTTCTTTGGAAGAAGTATATCAACCCCTATGTCAATATTGTCGGACGTATAGTGACTGCGGTAAATACGAAACGGGTCGAACTTTGACGGCGGATCAGATAGAAGAGCATTCACTAGCTCATCGAACCTCAGTTGACGCTCTTTGGCATGGCTCGTCGCAATACTTGGCGAACCCATGACTGACGCAAGAACACGAGCATGAGCAGCAGAATGCATGATTTCCAAGTCGCGAATATTTGAAGTGCAGTTTTAAGGCTGGAGGGAATGCTCGAGTGTGGGCGCGGGATGATGTCGTCTTTTGAAGAGATCAAGCTATCTGGATCACCGGATTGCCTTTTTTGACTTAGGTTGCATGAAAAAGACAGGGTCGGAGCTTTAAACATCGAATCACACCGGCCTGAAGCAAGCTGCAAAAGCCGATAGGCGGTAATTCCCCGCATTTTGATAGTGATGCTAGAAAACAAATGCTTTTCATGAAAGCTTGATTTGATTGCCAAACAAACAGTCTTACTTGAAAGACCTTGACAACGACAGGCGTTACCGATTTCCGGCCCTAGCCAGCCACCTCGCGGCTTCACTCAGTAGTTCTGGAAGCAATGATCTTGTAAATCTCCGTTTCGACCTTGTCTGAACATTCAAGAACATGAGGATCTGGTAATAATCACTTTGGTTAGCGCTGCGGTTTTGTTGATGGCAAGACCAAAGCGTTGGTTACTGCTCGTGCTTACCCCCGTAAGGTGCAATCTGCGCTGCAATAATCCCGCCAATCTTATTCTTGCGGTCCGCAAACCAATAGAGATTTGCAAGGCCCTCCCATGAGGCGGTTCCTGCAGGCCTTCCCGTTGAGGACGGGTGGTGACTGATTGAGAAGGAAAGGCCCCAGCCTTCAGTATGATCCTCTGGCATTGGGGTCAACGGGGTGGGTCTTGCCAGTGTTGGCTTTGACACCGGGATGAATTTGTTAGAATAGCGAGGCTTGTCCGAAATCTGATCGGTAAACATTTCTAAACGACGTCAGAACTTAGATTACGCAGAGGGCTAAGAAATAGCTCAGGTCGCATACCGTCTACTGTTTCCGGTTTCAGCAGTTGTGCCTTCGTCCTGGCATCTTGGCCATCATTCAGGAGCAGCGAGATGATACCTGAGCCAAAGTCAACACTACAATTCCCAAACGAATCCGGTTCTAATGACGATTTTTCAAGTAGAGACTTACGGGAAAACTCTGCTGGCTTGCCAAAGCATCCGTGCCCCCCAGCGCAAAATAGGTTGTCCCTTTCCTCCTGCGTTTTCACGACCAGGGGCTTTCTGTAGATGTGATCTATCTCGTAAAATCCACCGTCAACGTCTCTCTGATGCATATGAGCCAATCGGGATTTCGACTCTTCCGAAGGTTGAAACGTGATGCTGGTGATCCCGAGAGGTTCGAAAATGTTCTCCTGAAAGTACGTTTCTAGGGACACTCCTGTAGCACGCTCGACAATAATGCCCGCCCAGTCCATCGATGTCCCATACTGAAATGTTTCACCGGGCTGGTTGACCAGCGGGCGGTTGATGACATCAAGCCTGTCACAGGAGAAATCATCCAGGCCGATCGGACGGGCTACCTCGGCGAGTTTGTCATCTTCAAAGGCGTAGCCAAAACCAGCTGCGAAGCATGTATATCAGCAAGCAAACCGGAGCAGTTTAAATCTTTGGATGGGATACCTGTATGGTTCAGAAGCATTCTGAAGGTGATGCGACTTTTCTTCGGAACATAGTGGAAGTCTCCTTCGGGTGTCCTCTGGAGCACCTGCACATGACGTAGTTCTGGTGCCAACTCTTCGAGCTGGCCTGCGTCGTCTAGCTTAAGCAAGCCTCGCTCCACGCATTGCATACAAGCTATGGAAGTCACCAACTTCGTAAATGACAAGAGCCAAAACGTGGTGTCCAACGTCATTGGCTGGGTCGTCGACAAGCCTTTCTTCCCGGATGCATACTGGAATATCGGAAGACTGTCTTGTCCAAATGCACAATACACAATCCCCGGAAGTTTCGGCTTTTCCCCAGTGGTGTATTGATCAATTAGATCGCGCAGGCCTTGTGTTGAAGCTGCAGTCATGGCGGGCATCTCGGTCAACTTGCCTCGCGTTACGTAGGTTGAAATTAGGCGGTAAACGTCCTCTATCAATATTTCGTTTTGACACAAAAGCTGCCATGCGTATTTCTGCAACATCAAGCTCACTGTGAGTCTGAGGAGCATAGACGATGGGAGGTATGATTTCGGTGGTGTGCAGCCGAGAAGCGTGGGGTTGCAAGCATCGTAAATATTTCCTGTTGCGGACATGTTAAGCCCACCACTGAGCATGCCTGTTCTGGAATGGCAGGGTTAGGACGGATGACAACAGCACTGCGGCAGAGATACTTTTGAGAAGCAGTCGTCCGCCATTTCAGCCAGGGCTGGATCTTGAAATCTACGGCTTGCCAAAAAACGAAACAACGAAGAGAACCGTCTTATTCCATTCTTTGACAAACCTACATAATGGCAGAGTACAGATGGCTGTCAGGTCCAGTCGGCGAGATGCTTCGCTCCTCATCCCTTGCCACCACAGCCACGATACCTCTACAGGGTCACCTAATTGTCACCACCGGACATGTCGGCGTCAACCTCTCGACAGGAGAACTTGTCAAATCCAGCATTCGGGATGAGTTTCATGCCGTATGCGACTGTCTCGATGCAGCTCTTCGCGACGCTGGAGTCGAACCTGGTCTGGGGGGAGCGCATAAAATTGTTGCGTATTTTATTCGTGCGGAAGACGAGGCCACACTGCTTGAGGTCTTCCGGGAAAGGTACCCGGGTCACTCACCAACGTGGACTTCAGTAGTGGTTGCGGCTTTGGTTGTCCCGGGCATGCATGTCGAGGTTCCAGCGGAAGCTGTCCGCGGTGGCTGAGATACTTTCTGACATGAATGTGCAAATGGGGAGAATAGTGAATTACATCTCAGTCAATCAATCTATATGACCCTAACACTTTCTTCCATCTGTAATCTCACTGCCGGTCTGGCATGTTTCTGTAAGCATTGTTCGGATCCGCCAGTTCTTCTTCGACGGCTGGAAGCTTCTTGACCACCTTTGCTGGGGCCCCCATGGCAACAGAATATGGTGGAATGCTCTTTGTCACGATTGATCCCGCCCCAATTGTGCTTCCCTTCCCAATAGTGACCCCTGGCAAGATGATTGTACCACCGCCAATCCACGCGTCATCCTCTATGTAGACGGGATCGCCAAACTCAACAAACTTGATCCGAGAAAGGACACTGGTCTCGTGCCCTGCGCTGTAAATGCTCACATTCGGACCCAGTTGAACACGGTTACCAATGATTACCAGGCTGGTGTCCAGGATGGTGCAGCTAACCCAGTATTAGAATAGTTCAGCTCCGACCTTGGATGAAATTGTCTTACTTGAAGTTGATAAAGCAATTCTCACCAATGACCACGTTGCATCCGTAATCTGGTATGAAGGGTGGCTCGATAAAGGTTCCCGGGCCCACCTTTCCCAAAATGTCCTTCAACATTTCTTGCTGCGTGGCCATCAACTCGTCGTAAGGCTTCGAGTTCGGATCCATATTGTTGTACTTGTGAAGTAGGCATTTCGCGCGGTGACGTCCTGCGAGCAAGGGGGGATGCAACGGATTGTATCTATCATCGTCAACCTACATTTCTAGAACCTCTGTCTGGTCATGATGCATTCTTACAGCATTCCAGAAATCATACGCTCGTACTCCTCACACCAAGGAGTACCCTTCAGCTCCTTGGCGAGCTGAATGATCTCGCTGTTCTTCGCTGTTCTTGCCATGGCAACTGACCGGTCTTTGGTTACTTTCGTCCCTTCTGAAATCGGCTGCTTGATTTGACGTCGACATGTCATAACGAACAGGAACTACTTTATACATGGGGTAATTTCAACTTTTCCTGAAGAGGACAAAAGAACATTTCCGCATCTGGAAATGTTTGATCGCAACCTTTTACCCCGCTACGCTATCGGTCCAACCAGGGACACACCCCGCTCAGACGCACACATGTGTGAAAGGTCTCTTCATGTCAACGTTTGATCAACGACGACGGCTAGTTGAACTCATTGCGTGCTATCTTTTGTCTGGCTCAGTCCAAAGTCGATGCTCAACGATACCCTCGGTCTCTGCGTGTACATATAGCGAGCATGACGTTTGGGGCCTATCGTGTTAAGCTCCAAAACTTCTTTCAGCAATACAGTTATAATGTGTATTGGAGAATCCCTGTCTCATGTTTAACATGGAAATCCTGGGCTGGCGAGAGGCGTCTAAGAAACCTGATCGCAGAGTCAAGATAACAGCCACTATCGGCATGCAGAAGCTCCCCGTGATGTGCCCCCACCAAAGATAGTGGATTGCATGGTAGCTAGCATCCGTGCGGTGCCGTTCAAGATAGGAAAGCTCGGTAAACAAGGATCTTTGTGGGGAAGCGGCTTGGAAATCTGGGGAAGGACCTGAATCAATCATCAGCCATGGATGTAGATCTACAACACATTCTTTGGACGTGCAAGGAGATTCGGACGGACGGAAACATGGTTCTGGTGGTATCTCTCTCCATGCTGACGAGGCCCAGTCACACTGCAAGCAAACGAATCGAGCGACATGCCAGCCATGGTTGGAACGGTGGTGCAGGTAATGGGTTAAATGAATCTTAGTGTAATCGGAAATGCGTCGGTGTAGACGGCGCTCAGTCTGTAGCTGAAGACGGGGAGGGAGGGGTAGTGCACGTACCTTTGTCCGGCTGAATCTCCGAGGTCTTGATAAGACGTGAATGTGAGAAGTGCACCGCGGCTTTCCATATAAAGTTCTTGGAGTCAGACCACGGAATTCAGATTCCTTACAACTCCCTAACAACATACGATAATCATCCCAAAGTCTCGGGTACTGCTTTTCTCGACCGATCTTTGTGCCACTATCGTTCCATCAGACCGTTCATAGGACTGACTATGGCCGGCGAATATCCTAATGACGGCAAAATAGCCGAGCGAAAAGCTGTCGGAAGCGACGGGCAATCAGTCATTCTTGGGGAGCTCCATGGTATGGACGATGATGCCATTCTGCGAGCACAAGGACACGCTCCGGCATTGAAGAGAACATTCAATACTCTTGGAACCCTCGGTTTAGGCTTCAGGTGAGTTGAACATGCTGTTGAAACCTTGCATGGTTTTCTGAGAACTAAAGCTTGACGGAAGAAATATGCTAATATTGTGATGGCTTCAGTATCACAAACTCGTGGTTGTCATATGCGAGTTGCTTTGGGCAGAGTATGGTATATGGTGGTCCGCAAGCAACGGTATTTGGCCTGATTGTGGCTTGCTTTGTGCAATGGATTGTAGCCGCTGGCATGGCTGAAGAAGCCTCTGCTTTTCCATCCTCGGGAGGTATGCATTCGAAACGCCATAAGAGCGAAACATGCAATGGTCATTGACATATAGTTACAGGCCAATACCACTTCACATCTATCTTGGCCCCGAAGAAACACAAGAAGTTTGCGGCCTTCTCGGTTGGGTTGCTCAGCATCGTCGGGTGGTGGGTCATTACTTGTTCAGGGTTGTCCAATAACGTTCAGTCGATCATGGGCATGGTTCAGTTTGTGAATCCCAGCTTCGAGCCCCAACGCTGGCAGTTTTATCTGGTGTATCTTGCACTATTAGTTGTTACTCGTAAGTCCCGTCTCACTCCATTTATCAGCAGACGCTTCCCACCCAACTCCTAAATGCTAACTTGGGTCTCCCAAGTCGTGCCGATTTTCACCATCCCTCAGCGCCATATTGGGAAGTGGACAACGCTCTGCTTAGTTCTGTCAATCCTCGGATTCTTCATTGTCACCATTGTCATCCTGACAATGTGCAAGTCATTTCAGCCTGCCAGTCAGATCATCAAATTCGACGGTGCCAGTGGATGGCCGAATGGGATGGCTTGGTTCATGAGCATCGGCAACGCCATGTACGCCTTTGCGAGCCTAGATGCCGTAATCCACATTGCGGAGGAGATGCATCATCCCGGGAAAGAGATTCCTCGTGTCATGTGAGTGTTACAACGCAAAGGCATCGTGTCACTTAACGGCAGCTGATGTGTTTGTCTAGCAACTTGACTCTAATGATCGGCTTGGTAACATCAGTGCCTTTCATCATCGCGATGATGTTCGTTAGCAAAGATGTTGAGGCTGTGCGGGGTGCAATTCTGCCTAGTCTTGAAGCATTTTATCAAGCCACAGGAAGCAAGACTGCAGCATTAGGCTTGCAAATACTGTTGACTATTCTGTTTTACAGTAAGTCCAGTCCCTCGAGATCTGACATGTAGAGAGACTGATGATACTGTTCAGCGTGCATGCCAAGTCAGTGGATCACATGCGGACGCCTGACATGGGCTTTTGCTAGAGACGTAAGTGCTGCGCACAGGTATCTCCAAACAAAGGACGGAGACTGACCCTTTCATCAGAACGGACTTCCGAGGTCAAACTACTGGACTGAGATCCACTCATACTATCAGTTCCCTGTACGAACCACTCTCCTCTCGGCAGCCTTCTGTGCGATCTATGGATTGCTATATGTTGCGAGTACCCAAGCGTTCAACTCCATCATCGTATCCGCAGTCCTCGCAGTAAACATCTCCTACGTTGTGCCGCAAGCTATCTGCCTCGTGCAAGGCCGAGGGAAGACCCTTCCCAATCGTTCATTCGATCTTGGAATCTGGGGATACTTTTGCAATGCGTTTTCTCCTGTTTGGATAACTGTCATCGGTATCGTTATCTGTTTCCCAAATATCCTACCTGTGACGGCTGCTTCAATGAATTAGTAAGTTCCGTTCCCATGACTTGATCCTTTCGGTCTGGACCGTTTCCACTGACACGTAATTTAGCGTATGTGTGACTTTGGGGGCAATTGGCTGTCTCATCATAGGGACATGGTACTGTATTAGGAAGCAGTTTCAAGGGCCTTCTATCGACTGGGCCATGCTCAACGACCAGAACGCTATTGACTAAGGGAATGGAACGGCCTGTCTACGTTGTTATGACACACCTCCGGATATCGAATAGATAGTACCAGTACTTAGCAGATTTCAATATTGCTGTTATCAATAACGCACTGCGATTCATGGCTTCTGTGAGCCCGTGTTATGAAGATTGCTTCCCTTGATTGAAAATTGCAGTGACCCATAATTTCAAGATTAGTACTTGTCTTCGCCTCCGACGTTCCTCACGATTGTTATATTAACGTGGTATGTGGAAATGGCTGCTGCACTACATCTCCATCCCCAGCACGAAGATTTCAGTCCAGGTAGGCTGAGGAAGAGGTAGCGAAATTTGAATCCAATTCCTGTGAGAGACTTTCTAATGTACAAGTGCGCCTTACTCTTCCCATTTGCCCTTGTCAGAGGCGAGATTGACCAAGCCTCCCCTTCGGTCTGAGTTCCGTGGCAATCGTTTGGGCATTCATGATGCCCTGTTCAAGTGCACCATCAATAGAGGCTCGCCAGCCATGAGCCCAATCACCACTGGCAAAGAAGATATCTCCATGTCTGCTCTGAAGCTCATCCTGATATTTGGACATGTATCCAGGCCTCCACCATGCCGGACCCCCTTTAGAGTATGGATCGGTACACCAATTGTGGAATATCTGAGCATCATTAAGATCTGTGGAATCGTATCAAGATAATCAAAGTGACTTACCATTCTCTGAACATTCATCGGATGGAGCTGCTCAAAGGCGTCGACGGCTGCCTTTGGATTTTCCTCTGGTACAAACGCTCCTTTCTCGTCCTTCCCGAAACCGACAAGATGGACATTCCCATTAGGAAGGACACCGTCGCCGTAGCCGTACATCAGAGTGCCAGGAAAGCGCATGCCGTTCCAACCCTCGAGCTCAGAGTTGCTTACATCAACGTGTATCTTCGACATCTGGTTGACATGTCCCAGCTCGATGGCTTCGCGGCGAGTCGTCGAGAGCGGGGGTATGAACTGAACATCCTTCAGAACGTTAAGTGGGATGGTGCAAACCACCTTGCGAGCCCTGAAATTTTGCCCTGAAATACCGCGGACCTGAATACCATCCGATCGTTGGATGATGGAGCTGACAGGGAACGAGAAGATGTAATCGAGTCCATAGTCAACGGCTTCCCCGAACATTCGCTTGGCGAGGGCCGTCTGTCCTTGTCTCAACTTGTATCGAAGCCAGATATCGCCAAAGTTCTTGAAGTCGTGCGTCATAAGAGCGTGAGATCGTGCCATGTCCCAAAAGCTGCTGTTCTCCATGTCACCGCCCGAGATGTGCAAGAGCAACGATACAAGAAGTCCTCTTTCTTCGGCGCTGAGCTGGTCCTTGATTTGCACGTATCGGTCCTGACAAGACATCTGGTCCCATTTCTCGATGGTTGATCGATCCACAACGATGTTATTCAGCTGTGCGTGGGGCAAAGGGCAGATTGTGCGACAATGTTGACCATCGACGTTTACGAAAAGATCCCAGGCTCGAGATGTCATGGTGCCGGCTTCTTCGTGGGTTGTTCTTCTCGGCTTCTCACCTAAATAGTCCGATAACATGAGTTTCAACGAAGCGGGTGTGATGATTGCAATGGTAAAATACCTTGAACGTTAATGGTATAGTATCCATCACTTTTATCCGCAATGCCAGTTTCCATGAGATCACGATCCATGTTGTATCTTGTCATCTCTCTGAGCAGGTACCCCATGTGGTGGGTGACCCAAGTGCCTCCCATTTCGTAGAGAAATCCTGTTCGACGATGTTAGCAGAAGCGTTAGATGCACACGTAAGTGTCATACAACGTACCATCTTTTTTTACTGTATAGGTTCGTCCCCCAATACGGTCTCGAGCTTCAAGCAGCAACACGGAGTGGCCTGGCACTAGTGTATCAGTAGCTGGGACAGCAAGAGTCTTGAACAGGTCCAAGATCCTACCTTTGGTTGAAAGATCTCGCGCGGCTGCAAGGCCAGCATATCCCGCGCCAATCACAATGGTGTCATACAAGCGGTTGGGAGTCGATTCCAATCGTCTAGGAGGTTGAACAACTGCATCACTTTCGAGGCCTTTCGAAACCGAGACAGACTTAGGAGTCCATTCGTACCCATCGTTGGTCTTCTTCTCAGGCGCCATGTCGTAAAAGTGTCAACTGAACTATGCAACGAATGGTAACATGCCCCAGGTCTAGTGCCCGATCCACAGCAGTTAAGAAGGTTGATCCGTTTCGACAGAAGATATCAGATAATTCCATCTTTGGCCCATTGCCGTGTTACGGGAATGCACTCCAGCTATGCCTTGGAGAGTCCTGTTCTTTGGGTGCATCCAACCCACTGTTAGTTTCAGGACGTGGCCATTCAGCGACTTTTGGAGAAAGTTTGCGGGGTTGTTGGCATTATTTCCTATTTAGGAAATATTTCGTACTCCCTGGACCGGGTCCGAGCTCCGGTCCTCCCCGCAGCAGGTGGGAACATCTACCTAACAAGGATAGGAAATTGGTTGACTTGCCAGAAGAGGCGGAGTTAGTCCACTCAAGAGTGCTCGGTCGTAAGGTCGGCGATGATAACTGCAGCAGAAATGCATCGTCATCAATACGTTGATTGTAAATAAGAACAAGCGACAAACATCAGACATCTTCCCCTGTTCATCTTCATCAAACCTTCATATCCGATACTTCACGATACATTAGAAACCCAATTGCTGTTCGTGTGTCGTCTCTTCATCATTCCCAGATTCAACCATGGTAGACTTTAAGGGATTGAGCCTTGAAGGCAAAGTTGCCATCGTCACTGGAGCTTCTAGGTATGGACTGGAATCTCACTGCTAGTATCATGGCAACGCGGTTTGCTAATCGTAAAATAACAACAGAGGGCTTGGTGCAGGCATTGCCGAACTCCTTGGAAAGCGCGGGGCCAATGTGGTTGTCAACTACGTGTCCGAGGGCAGCCGTGAGCGTGCGGAGAAAGTTGTGAAGACGATCGAGGCCAACGGTACCAAGGCCGCACTCTGTCAGGCAGATGTCAGCAAGCTTGCCGACATTCCTAAGATCGTTGATAGCGCCTTGAGCATCAGTCCTACCGGGAAGATTGATATTCTTATTCACAAGTACGCCTTCTCCGTGGGGTGAACATGACTTGATGCTGACAACCGCACTCCAGTGCCGCCCAAGGCAATGAAGCCAATCTTGTGGACACCACACCTGAATTCTATGAGAGGCATTTCGATACAAATGTGAAGGGCCCAATCTTTTTGACCAAAGCCGTTGAGCCACACCTCCCAAAGGGTGGACGTATCGTCTTCATCTCGTCCGCAGGCGCTCGCCTGGGTGTCGCAGGACAAACGGTATACGCCGCCACCAAGGCGGCCAACGAGGCCCTAACTAGGACTTGGGCGAAGGAATTGGGGCAATCTCATGGGATCACAGTCAACAGTGTCAACCCAGGTCCAATCGCAACAGGTGAGTCACTACACAAAGACACGTTTCACGTATGTACATGTATACGGGATCCCCGCTAATCCTAGGCCAAATGTCTAGACCAATGGTTCCAGAGTGATGAGCAATTTTTGAAGGATATGCAGCCCTTGATTGAATCTACTCCGGCGGCTGCTCGAGTTGGCGAGGTTGATGACATTGCTCCTTTGGTAGCGTTCCTGTGCTCCGACGACGCTCGTTGGACCACCGGCTCTACCTTGTCGGCAAATGGAGGGTTGTACAACTAGAATTAGTAGAACAAGGATCTTTTTATGACGTATGACGTTTGGATATATATCTCGCATCCCCTTTAGTAAAGTAAAGCATGATTCCAGATCCAGCCGCAAGAATTCTCGCATCAATCGATAGTGGACAAGGGATGTTGAACTAAAATGATGTCCTGACCCTTGTAAGATAGGCTGATAGTGAGATGGGACGCAGATCTCGGCCTCTGGACTGGAGCGGAATATATAACCCGCAGGGCGGAAGAGGGCCTGTCACCGGAGTCTGCCCACCAGTCTCCAATTACCCCGCGTTAGTTCGCTATTTTTGATGGGTCGGGAAGGCATAGATCCCGATAAGACATCACAATGGCCCCAATACGGCAACTGTCGCCTGTTCGGAACAGAACCTGGGTCCTGTGAACTCTCCAAACTCGACGCTCACATTGTCTCCTTGTGTTCTTCACGTCGACCGTTTCATCACTGCAATACTTCTGAACATGCCGCAATCAGCAACGAAGCCGTCACGAGGATTCAGATTCGTCGGGGGGCCCAGCCGTAAACGCAAGCCAAACTCTACCCCTTACCGTCATAACCGAGCCCGTCGCAATTTGAACGACCATTCTCGAGATCATCCAGAATTTCCTGATGTCACGAACGGCGATCTGCATTCTGCAGATAATTTTAATGCCCAGGCAGAGGGGCAGTCGCAGGATTGCATTACTGTAAGACCGGAGGATGAATCTGGTTCTCGGACGCCATAGCCCATGAATATGAACGAAGCAGCGTCTTCAGAGCCATCAGGGCTTTCTGGTACCACTCTACCTCCAACTACGCCTCTGTCATCACAGATGCCCGGAATTGACGCGACCTTGCCCATGCGAGCCCTGCCAGTGTCGAATGTTGATCCTTTTTGGGGAGCCAACGGGCAGTTCACGGGTTACGAATTCGACTCCATGGAATTTTCTTCACTGTTGACACCATTCCTGGAGACCCTAGATGGCCTTGCTGGAGTCGACGACTTTTCCTCCTGTAGTCCATCAGGCACTGACGCCTCCGAGAATCTCGAATCACAAAGAGATGACCAGATGCAAGGTATCTCAAGCCAAGTTGACCCCGGCATGATCTCGGTGCACCGAGCATCGAGGACCATCGAATCGCCGAAGGTCCCTTCACCAAACGAGGTGACTAGTTCACTCGATGACCTTTTGCTTCAGTGTATTTATACCTATCACGATTAATGCTACATAGCTGACCAACCAGGTAGACGACCAAGAGTTCTGCGTACTCCCACTGACATCTGATTTTGACGCCAACCCTTTCAGATGCGGGTCCTTGAAGTGGAAGAAATCCGATATTCTCCTCCACTCGATTCTCGCATTATCCTATCGGCATATCAATAGGGTCACAGGGAAGTGTGGAAGAGAAGCTAGCCAGCACAAAACGACTGCTTTAAAAATGCTTGAAGAGAGGCAAAGGAGTGGACATACTCAGAGTGCAGAGAATGGCCTTCTTGAAGCGGTCCTCATTTTATTCACTCTCAACGTACGTTTTGCAGAATATGGCGTTTCTCAAATCATCAACTGACCGTCCAAAGTGCTCTTTATCCGCGTACGGCTCGTGGACGTCGCAGCTTCACGCTGCACATCGGGTTCTCACAACATTTGATAAGTCTGGAGGACAACGAACGCCTAGAGTAGAGGCTCAGATTTCAATGCTCATTTGGTAAATCATGATCTCTGTTACAAGTGTGAGCAGGTGCTAATACTTACCTCAGGTGGGACGTGACTTTAGCTCTGACAACACGAAAGGGTTGCGTCCTACCTCACACATATCATTCCAATTTGCACTATCAGACTCCCGATAATGAAAAGGCATTCTACAACGTATCTGGCTGTCCTGAAGAGCTCTTCGGATACATGACACGTCTAGCAATGTACGCAAGAGAATTCGAGCTCGCCACCACGATGACATGCGTTACGTTTGATACAGGTCCTGTCCTGTCGGTGGAGCAAGCTATCAAAGACTGGAGGGCACCGGCATATTCGGACTGCATTGATATCGAAACTTTGGAGAACGATGGCTCCCAAAACGTGGATCAGCAGGAGATTGAAGAAGCATTGAACTACAAGCAAGATTTACACCACTGCGCCGAAGCGTGGAGATATGCTCTGCTTCTTTACATTGAGAGAGTATTCAAATGGGACCGGAAATCTACTTCCCTTCCAGTTTTAGTTTTGCTGGCCCGAAAAGCTCTCAACCATGTGAGCTCGTGCCGGCGTGGCACCATGCTGCAAAAGCAACTCCTGCTCCCAACATTCTTGGCAGGGTGTGAAACAACGAATCTGGAGCTGAGAGAACAGGCGAAGCAGTATTGCGAGTGGTGGAATGATAAGACAAGGTATGACATGTTCTTGACAGCTGCCGCTTTTCTCGAGGAAGTATGGGCAAAATATGGAACCGGAAGTTGGTGGGGGTCTATCATGGACGAGAAGTGTCAGCCAGGGGCACATGGATACACGCAAAATCAGTATCTTCTAGGATAAGATTCAATATCATGGGCTATTTCAAGGATTTTGCTTGTGGGTTATTCAGATTACAACGGCAGGATTAGGAATGCAGACGTCTCTTGGTTGGGCTTTCTTAATATTTGTCTCTGGATACCCATTCAGATTAGTTCTCAGTTCCTGCTAGAGCAAATCCAGTTCAAACTACGTCAAAGTCAATAGTACCCCAGCCTTCGAAGGTGCAAGACCAATGACCCGCCTCCTCCATCGGAACTGCTTGTAGACAACTACCAGGCAAGATGACTTGGCCTGGGCTGAACTCAACATCATACTTAGAAAGCTTGTTGACTAGCCAAGCAACAGCTGAGATGGGGTTACCAAGTACGTTCCGGGTGTTTCCAGTCATAACCTGTCGATCATTGAAACGAAGAATCCCTCGAGTGTTGCTCAAGGTGAGGTCGGTAAGCCGCCGGGGGGTGCCACCGAGAATCACAGCTCCAGTGGAGCCATTGTCTGCTAGAGTATCCGCCAAGCCGATGGCCCAGTTCTTTACCCTCGAGTCAATGATTTCAATGGCGGGTATGGCGTAGTCTATGGCGTTGATGACATCGGCCACGGTAACATTCGGCCCCTTCAGACGACTCTTCAGCACAAAGGCTGGCTCGAGCTCCACAAATGGCTTGATGTAATCCTTCCGCGGTAATGTAGTGCCTTCGTAGATAAATGTACTCGCAAGAAGAAAACCGTAGTCTGGCTGGTCGAGTCCGAAAGCATCTTGCATGACTTTCGCAATGTTTCCTAGCTTGTACCCCACAAGACGGTCGCCGTACTTGCTGATCGCATTCTTGACGGTCACTCTTTGGACTTCAAAGGCGCTGTCAGGATCGAGGCTTCCCCAGGTCTTGGCAGGCGGGTCGATGGGCTCTCGGCTTATACGAGCAGCTCTAAGAGCTTCTGAAATTTGTTGAAGTTCGGATTCTTGCATTATTGTATTGGTGAAAAAGTAAAGCTTCTTGGAAAAGGCCGCGATCAAAAGTCAAGGGCGTAGGATAGTGACACGATATTTGATGAGAGAGGCGCTTTAATGCTTTCTATTATCTCATGGTATTGAAAGTAACAATGCCCTCAAGCTATATAAGTCTTATAAACACTTGAACGTGCACAAAATTCAAGGATTCTTCTGCTTTCCCAATACCTTTTCTGATAAGCCGACTGAAGACCGATGGTTGATGCCCGGAACGACAGGAGCACCTCGGGATCTACCATCGGCGAGGTTCGTACCTTAACTGGAACGCAACATGGCAACCCGAAATTTCAAAATAACTGACGAATGAAGTCAATCCCGTTGTCATAGTCTTATCTTTTGGTCCGAGCCTCCTGTTGAAATTGGACCCCACTGTCGTCGGGCGCCTGGTTCTATCAGACCCGAGCTCCCGCTCCCGATCCCTGCAAGAACGCATCCGAGACTCACTACGGAGGATGAACCGACTCGCTTCGGCTTCATCCAACGTAAGGCATTGCACTTTAAAGCCATACCCGCCATATACTGAGTTCGTTGGTGCTTTTGCCAACTTTTACTACCAAGAAATGTGTCATAGTGTCGCCCGTCTTGGCGCCTCTACCCCAGATGATCGCCTCTAGCTGTCCGGTGTCTCGGCTTTGTGCAGACGTAATGTCAAGCAGCTGATTGGTCCCGAGCCCGACAGGGCCCTCATTCTCTAGCTTGACATCCTCGTAATGGATCAAGAAACCAGGGCAGAAGCTTACTGGATGAACCATGTGATCGACTGCTCAAGCTGTCAGCTGAACCTATCCCATCTCGGGTTAGAGGTCGGGGGCCTGAATGCCATCCGACCCTTACGAACCGATGAAGGCGACTGGGATTATTGCGAAGTCCCTGGATAGGCTAGTCCTGCTGTTTTCAGTGCGTATACGCGACGCTGACGTTGCAATGATAATTGACGGTGGTTTGGCCTCTACATGTATTTTGGGAAGTCTTAAACATTGACCTGTCCGCGAAACTTTCCAATCATCGTCGCACTTTCAACCCACTACTACATATCTTACTTGCCCATTGGTATCAGTTTACAGCCACCTGGACCTCATTAGTGCCAGACAACTTCGGAAGCACACACCATGAGCGGAGCCCTGGCCGACTCTGAGTCGAAGCTGTCCGCAAAGATGACTGAGCTGAAGAAGGAGAGCGGTGCGAGTGAAGTGGGAAGCGGCGAGATTATCCACAATCCCGAACATCTGCAACGCCATCTCACTCCACGCCAAGTCCAATTCGTGGCAATCGGAGGCTCGATCGGAACAGCCCTTTTCGTTAGCATCGGGTATGGTCTGATGCGTGGAGCAGGCAGCCTGTTGGTAGCATTTGCTTTGCAAGCCTGCGTAATTGCTCAAGTCAACAACTCGTTGGCGGAGATGACTGTCTTCATGCCAATCAGTGCATCTTTTATCCACCACGCCAGGACCTGGGTTGACGATGCCTGGGGCTTTATGGTCGGCTGGAATTTCTTTCTCTTTGAGGCGCTGCTCATCCCGTTTGAGATTACGGCTTTGGATATGGTGTTGACCTTTTGGCGAGACGATATCCCCTCCGCTGCAGTCATCACGACATGCATCGTCCTCTACGCGTAGGGTTCCAGTTTTCATGGTCGACTTCGGTGATGCTGACTACGAGGCCTTCAGAGCATGCAACGTGCTCGTTGTCAAGTACTTTGGCGAAACAGAATTCTGGCTGGCTGGGGGCAAGCTCCTGCTTATTTCCATCCTCTTCTTTTTCACCTTCATCACGATGGTGGGAGGCAACCCGCAACATGACGCCTATGGTTTCCGTAATTGGTCCAAGCCGGTATAGCTCCATTTTATCTGTTTCTGTGTATCACTTCCAATGCCCTGATAAGTACTGATCAAATTGCAAGTCTCCCTTCGTTGAGTATATCGACACAGGCAATCTCGGTCGATTCCATGGGTTCCTTGCCGCATTATGGCAAGCAGCCTTCACTATCGTCGGTCCCGAGTATTTGGCCACTGTTGCCGGTGAAGCCCAAAATCCTCGGAAGACCATGAAGTCTGCCTTCAAATCCGTTTACTGGCGCTTTGGCATCTTCTTCATAGGCGGCGCATTGTGTGTTGGCATCGTCCTGCCGGCTAATGACCCTACTTTGCTCCGGGTGCTTAGCAACGGCGAGACGGGCACCGGCGCCGCGTCGCCGTTTGTCATTGCCATGAAGAACATGAACATTGGGATTCTCCCGCATATCGTTAACGCTCTGCTTCTAACAAGCATCTACTCCGCCGGAAACGCTTACGTCTACTGCTCATCTCGCAGTCTCTACGGCTTGGCCATCAATGGACATGCGCCGAAGTTCTTGACCAAGTGCACCAAGCAAGGTGTTCCTGTATATTGCCTTTTAGTTTCGGTCGCTTTCGCCTGTCTTTCTTACTTGAAACTAGGAAGCGGTTCCGTTACTGTTTTGACCTGGTAAGCATGCACGTTGACTAATTCCACTGTTCGGGGTCTAGGCCATGATTGGGGTGAATTCAATGCTAATCGGCACTCCAATAGGCTGACGAACCTAATTACTGGTGGAACCTTGGTAACATACATCGTCATCTGCGTCAACTACCTCTTCTTCTATCGAGCCCTTCAAGCCCAGAACTTCAACAGATCGGATCTCCCGTATGTCGGGTACTTACAACCATATGGCACATGGATTGCCTTGATGTGGCTTATTGCTGTCGAGCTTTTCTATGGTTACGCCATATTTCTCAAAGGCCGATGGGACATTGGATCATTTTTCAGCAGCTACACTATGGCCATTCTTGCATTTCTGCTCTTTGGTGGATGGAAGATCTTCAACCGCACACGGTTCATCCGGCCTGAGCATGCTGATCTAGTCGGAATTCGACCTGCAGTTGATGAGCACGAAGCGTCCACAATTGACAAAGAGGAAGTGGGCTTGCGCAGGCGCATGACACAGTTGCTCAATGCTCGCTTTAGATTTCACCGAGATTCGCGACGCTCGGTCTAGCTCATCGGCACGCAGGCTTGCGCTTAGGCGTGCACTTGCGAAGTCGCTCAATGATGGGCTATCGATTTAGCGCTTTATTTTAGTAGAATCGGCCCGTCAATATCATGCAACTATGCGGTCTATGTGTGTTCTTATGCAAAACTCTAGTATGGTCTCAACGGTTCAGCGGTAGCCTGTCCGAACGCCCACTGCTAGCAGCTCCGTTGATAGCTTCTGCGAGCGACATAACGACGAAAATCAAAGTTCTAACGGGTCAAGAATCCCAACGCAAAGTTCTCGAATTATGAATCAAGGTGTGACTGGCCCCGTTTGGGAACATGGAAAGTGATTGTAGGTTCATCCGGTCGAGCCGGCGTTGTGGGGCCTGTCCAGCTGGCGTATCCCCGCGCCGGAGGCTGACAATATCCGGGTGTTCGGAGAAAACCCCCGCTGTCCTGCGCTTACTTTGTCGCCAGGGCTCGTGGTCCCTGAAAGTGAATGCATGCTCTGTGACGAACTCTCAAGGATATGTCATGGCGCCGGCAGTTATTTGCGGGGTGTAGCTCTTGGATGCTGCCATCATGACAAGGTTTCTAGCTATCTTCCGCATCCCCTCTTTCAACTTTGAAGTATTTCGTAGTAATCTCCATGGTGTCTCACTAAGGAGCGACGGAGGGTCGGGGATGACAGCACCGACACACGCAAGGAAGAAGACGACAGCTGTTGGGTCCCGGCGGCATCCCACAGTTCAACTCCTGCCAAGATTTCCGGGACTCCCGACGGCACCGAGAACATTATTCCCGAGCGACTTCATCAATCTATCTCAACAAAAAAACGCGATCAAACACTCGTATTCCAACTGCAAACGCTGCCGCAGCAATTGCGGACCTGGGATCTCGTTTCACGAACGATCGAAGTGGAGTTGTCCATGGATTGCTAAACTGCACTAGGGAAGGATCTTCACTGAACCGATCCCCTGCAGAAGCTCTCGCCGCAAGGTGGCATTGACGCGGCTGCAGA